TAGGTAGGCGAACCTGTCGGCAAGTGGCCCCCACCGACTTAGTCTGGGCTCTTCTCTCATTGGCTTCTTTATAAATGTTACAGGCGGTTAACTGTTTCTTCTCCATGTCTCCGGCTCCCTGGGCAGACGTCCTCCGGTGATGCCGAAGCTGGATCCTCAGTGTGGCTGCGTAAGATGTCTCGCAATCACACTGGCGAGCTGGACATGATGGGTGTAATAATGGATAGACCATTAATTCGCCTTTCCTCAGATTTACGTACCCTAAAATCCTTGCGCATGCTACGTACAGATGCAACGAATGATGCATTCATGTATTTCATCTTTCGTAATTTACCAAAACTTAGAGAATTAAGAACAACGTGCACAAGTAAGCCAAGTGAGCGTGCCCCATTTCCTAAAATGGAATGATCTTCGAGTTTTTTGTCTTCATATGATAAATTCGAGATCTGATATTGAATTTTTAAATATCCTATAGAGATTTCATAACTTAAAGGAGGAAAGTCAACACAGAGTTTCAAACCAGGCACAGGTGGACTTGATAAAATATCATCAAGTGTAACTTGATAAAATATCATCAATTTCATCTGTGCTAGATTTAAATCCCCGCGTAGACTTCACCAATTTCAGATCTCGGATAAATTATATAAAAGCGAAAAACGCGAATTTAATTCAATTTTAGTTAATTGGACAGGCTTATTGACTCACCTCTGCACGTTTCTCGTAGTGTTAGTAAATTTTGAAAGATTAAATACATACATTCGTCATTCGTTGCATATGTATGTACCTAGCACGTGCAATGATTTAAGACTGCAAAAATCGGAAGAAAAAAGAACAAATAGCCTATCCATTACCACACCCATAATGTGCAAGCCGGCTAGTGTGATTGCAAGACATTTTACGCAACAAATTGATAAATTTATAAATTTATAAATTTATAAAATATCAAGTCCATCTGTGCTAGATTCAAAACTCTACGTAGTGTCATATATTTATTTATATATATATATATAATTACCAATTCAATTTAATGTCGCACCTTGCGGAGCTCGACCGATCCATATTGGCTGCCGTGCAGAAAGAGCCTCGTCATACTCTGTTTTAGAAGGTTCCGTCTTTTTCTTCCTTGCTTTGTGTGGTGAGTTGGTGTCAGCAATGTCCGCTCTAGTAGCTTATCGAGTATCTATCGACTTTTAACTACCTATCGAGAACTTAAGTGCTGCCAGACTTAAATTTATGGATTGGCTTAGATGTAGCTAAACTAAATGCAAAAATTAAAATGTTTGTGAGGTATTTTTTAAATAAAAAAGAAAATAAATATATATAAATATGTGCCAAACATTTTCTAACCGAGTTAATATTGACGGTATTATTTCTTTCAGGAAAAGCTTATTGTTTTTTTTTTGTTTTTAAATTTTCAAAATGATTTAAGACAGTAATTATTTTTAAAAATTCTTAAGCTTAAATTTTCTGTTTTTTTTTTTTCTTTTATGAAATTTTCCGAACAGTTTTTATTTAGAGTCAAACGTCGATCTACGACCCAATTAATGACTGCTTATTCCTTTGGGTGTCTTTCCCGACATGTGTCTCTGCGTGTGCCTTTGTCTGGTTCAAAGGATTCTTTGTGGAGGGCACAAGTCAAATGCCCGCCATTTGAGATGGGTTTACGATTGCGGTTAACAACCTTCACGTTGATGGTATTAATTTGCCTAAGTGCAGTCAGCACAATGCCAAATGCAATGCCACATTTGCACCGAGAGTCAAATATAACATCGACACCTTTTAGAAAGAAGGATAGTTTTATGGGTCATATAGAGGGGGGATGCCAAATGTGCCTGTTGGCACATAAACATTCATCCATCAATTGGGTTCCGCAGATGTGTGTTAGTGTGTGTGCTTAACACACCATTGAACTGTTACGCAACAGGAAGCCACCATACACACAGATGGAGATACACAGCGGCACACAGATACATATGTCCGGCGGTTGGAGCCCGGCAGACAAATCCCATTTGATGTTCACTCAGCAGAAAGGCAACGCCAATGAAGCATGCAAAAGGTATTTCAGCTTTTTCGTTGCCGGCCCAGACCCAGATTGCTGAGATTTTGGCTTTGTAACTCAAAATCGGGGGCGGTACAAGGAGCGAATGTGCAAACATCATGAAAAACGCTGCCACAACAACGAGGGGGCAGCAGCAAAAAAAAAAGGAAAAATCGAAGAAACAAAGGCAGATAAAGACGCTTACAAGCCGCAGAAAGAGGCATACAAACACACACACAGCGAAAAAGAAAAACAGAGGAAAACTTTTCCTTGCCTTTTCCGCATTTTTATTGAACTTTAATTCATTTTGCAGCCGATCCAGAATAAATTGTTCTATTTAATGGTGCAAATGTGCTCAGGATGCAACTTCACATATATCTATATATATATTCCTGTTTAGCAAGGACCTCCCCTCAGTGTCCATTGGGTCATAAAATGGCTTCCGGTTATACTTCAAGCGAGATTAACTTGTCGTTTACAATTTCCCTTTGATTTGTTTCCAGCTGGTATGGGTGGATATTCAGCCCAGAGGGTGAAGTGCGACTCTAACTTGTATATATATATATATAGAATAGGGTGGCCTTTGCAGCACTTTCGCTTTCATCTCGTGACATTTCTGCGGTGGATATGCACTTTAAATTATTGCCCTGAAGTTGTTAAGGAAGGTATATTGGCTTATAGACATTTATCAATATTTTAAATACCCATATTTAATGCCAATTTTCGTATTAACTAAGACAGAAATAAACTTAAAAAAGTAAGAAAAATTCAAGAAAATATAATTATTAGTCTTGATAATTTTATTTTATGTTAAAGCTCTTATTTGAATCACTTCGCCGTTTTATTTATTTTATAAAATGTCAAAATTGATTGATATTTATAAATAAAAAGCAAACGTTTGTTTTGATTTTATATTAATATTTATCAAATAACAATTTAAGTATCAGCAATGATTGACAATAATTAAATTTTGAATAAAAGCTGCACACAAAGTTTGTGTATTATTTTCCTTATTTTTTAAAAACTTTTAGAAACCAAATCGTAGTCTATCAGTACAAATTGGTTAGAGTACACTCATTTTTCCGTCATTCAGATTAAAAAATGCCCATGTAATTGCGCTTCGTTATTTGTTGTTGTTTTCCTGGTCTGGTACAAATTGATTTACAACAATTCATTTTCACCCGGGGCAACCGACCGCTGTGGGACCCCAGCCAGCTGACCAGAACACTTGTGGGCCCCAAAAGTCTCAGGTGTGAGTTTTATTTGTTTGAAAATTGTTTTCTCCGCTTTGTTCGCAGTTTTTTTTCTCCTCCCTTCGTTCTAGTTTTCTCTTTTTTTCTGTTGTTGCCCCCTTTTCTTTGTTTTCCCGAGGATGAAAAGGAAGCCACACGCAGCTTGGGTCTGTTTTCCTTGTGGCCTGGCGGTAATTTCATTTCGTCCTGGCTGCTGTGCGGTTCCATAGAAGTGCACTCAGCTTTCGCTTTCACCTTTCGGCCAGAACGCAAAACCAAACCAAAACCCAAAACCAAATCTGGACCAGTTCGCGGCTGCTATGCAATTAAGCCACGCAATCAGAATGCAAGATGAAGGCTCTGCAAACAATTGAATTCGGCCACCAAAAAGGGACAGCCAGTGATGGGTTGAGAAAAATTCATTGAATATAAAATAAAATCTTCATCATGTTGATTCATATTCTTTGTTCTTAACAATCTCCATTTTATTAGGAAATACATTTTCGGAGCTTTAAAAAGATCAGATTTATCCAATTCATTGTACCTATAAAAGGTAGAAAATAACCAGGAACTACCATCACTATAAAGAGGATTTTGGACAGCACCCTGCAGAAGCGTCGGGCTATGAGGTGGCCCAAAATGCTGGCAAAATGGCGGCCACAAGCTGCAAAGCCAACATGGCAGCTGACATCTGTCAGATGCTGTTATTTTGCTGGACTTTTAGTTGCCTTTGGGCTGCACTCGGGCATCTGTGCTCCCTATTCCGGCCGGACTTTGTTTGCCCAGCCCGGCTGAGCACTCACAATGGTACACCCGGAGCGTAAGCGCCAAATGGGAGCCACTAACGAGCCGGTCCATGTGGTGACGTCGATCGCGGGAATTAAGGTTTTTTTTTTGGAAACAGAACGGACCTGGTCCTGGTGGTTTTCCCAAATATTTTTGCTTCTTTTCTTTGCTCGTTAGACTTTTACTTGAATGTTCTGGTTACCTTAATGTTTTTAAAATCTTAATTAAAAAATTAAAAGATTTCAAAAAGATTGTTTACATTCCCTTAAACTGAATTAAGAGTTCACATATTTTTTTGTTTATTTCCTAAAATATTTTAAAATCACTTCTTAGAAATAAATACAAATTTCAAATAAACTTTTAGGCACAATTTAAAAATGAACAAGAGGAAACGCTATAGTCGAGTGCCGCGACTATAAGATACCCGTTACTGTTTTACACAATTTTAAAATATTAATTTTGCTAGTGGAAATTATCCAAGCGCCACCTATTGTCGGAGAAAGCATGTCGAGTAACTGATAGTGACGTCACTGCCCTAAATTTCTTCATAAGTAGCGAAATAATATTCCTATTTGAAAAATCTTTGGTAAATCGATAGATATAAACAGAAATAAGTTATACAAGGTCAAACGAAGGCATTCATAATATTATTATAGACGCCACAGTGTTCCGCGGTTTGTAGGCGTTAGAGTGGGCGTGGCCGGATAAAAACTCAGCTTTATAGCATGTTTAATACTTATTTGTATTCTGATTGACATATGTAATGAAACCTCTCATGCCATAAAATATTATACCAAAAAACCTAAAAACCAAAATAAGATTAAAAAGAACCCTTGTTAGACCCTGTAAGAAACCGCAACCTGTGGCATCATAAACAAAACCAAAATTAAATTAAATTTAGCCTTATTATTAAGAACCTAACTACAAATCACCACTCTAACAGGTTGCATAATTGGAATGCAGTTTCTTTAATTTCAAACATATTTACAATTCACCTACTCTGAAGTTAAACATTGTCCACAAGCCCACTAACCGGATACCTTTTCCAGCCGAAGCACAATATCATGTTTGGAGGCAATTACCGGACTAACTGGAGACCACTCGATCTTATCAACGGTCTGCTCGCACGTGTAGACCCTGTGGTTACGCAAAAGGTGCACAAGCCCCAGTTTTGACTGCAGCAGACCCAATCGCATACCGATGCAATTGCGCGGACCCACGCCAAATGGCATATAGGCGTCCATGTTGAGGCTATCGCGGTTGGACGGATTGAATCGCTCTGGGTCAAATTTTTCCGGGTCCGGCCAATATTGGGGGTCCCGATGGATGGCCAGAGTGGAAATGTAAATGGACATTCCATGCGGTAGAACCATGTTGTGGTAAGGATCGAGGCTGAACCGTTCACCTTCATCCGGCTGAGAGCATTCTCGTTCTGCGTACCCCACGATTGGATATTTCCTGAGTGTCTCGTTAACGACCTGAGACAGGTAGGGCATTTCCTGAATACGCTCGTAGCTGACATGGTCCTCGTCCCCAAAGAAGTCGGAGATTTCCTGCCGCAGGCGTTGCTGCAGGTCATTGTTCTTGGCCAACTCGTAAAGCGTCAGAGTCATTGTAGAAGAGCTGGTTTCGAAGCCGGCTGTCTGGAAAATGGCCGCCTGGGCCACCAAGTAGTCCAGATCAATAGTCTTCAACGACTCCTCGGAATTCGCGGAAGCCTGCCGCTTCATAGCTAGAAGGATATCGACAAGATCATTCCTCTTTTGGCCGGTTCTCTCTCGCTCCGTTAGAACATAGTTAATGCTGCTCCGGATGAACTTCGTTGTTTCCTTTGAAAAAAGCTTCACACGCGCCAGCGGCGCCAATGCCGGAAGCATGAAAATGATGGCAAAGTCTATAGCTCGACTCAAGGTCAACGAGAAAATAGCCTTATTGTGGTAGAAGAATTCGCTCCTGGCGTTCTGCAAAGCATTGGCCTCTAGACCGAAGGCAATAGTGGCTATCAGGTCAGTGGTAAAGCGAGCGCACAGATCCTTAACCTGGATGTTTGAACCGCTGCCAAGACGTTCAGCACTATCCTCAAGGTTTTTTCCAATCTGCAAAAAGGATTCAAATTTAGTATGGGAAGTAAAATACAATAACAATAAACAGATCAAGAACGTGCACTAATAAAACTCAATTATAAGTTCCAAATAATTATTCTTATCATTGTTTGATAGAAGATAACATGACCGGTTTTTACACTCACCTTCACCATCAGGGGATACATTTGCTTGATCTTGCCAGTGGTAAAGACCGGAGAGATCTTCGTTCGTAACTCCCTCCAAGCCGGGCTGCGAGCGAAGAAGAGGTTGTTGAATCCAAGAGCGTCATTGTGCGGGTCCGTTTGAAGTACGCGGTTGTTAAAGTATTGGAACTTCTTGATCATCACCGTTTTGATCAGGTCTAGATCGCGAATGATCAGAGCAGGGCGATATGCCATGTACACACCCACGAATGGTTCATTTTCGAAGCCAGGAGCTTGGTGAAACTTTTGGATCTGTTCGAAGAACGGTACTCGGCCGGTTAGAAACTCGCGGGTGTTACCCAGAAGGGGCAGCGATCGAATGCTTTTCACTCCATGGCGCTTCCAAAATGAATATGTCCGTTTTTGCCAAATATAAAAAACTATCGCTAATGTGCCGAGAAGAAACAGTAGTTCGGTCGACATGTTAGGAGCTTCGGAATCAAGGTGCTACTATACATCCGACCTCTTCGTGAAGCGCTTTTAAGCGATCGCCAGCGACGTAAGCAGGCAAAGTGTAGATACTCTGAGATTTGAATGATTTTGAATGTGGTCGCTATAACAAGGGCGCACGCTATCAAGAGATAACACTTTAAAAAATTTTGACTGACATTAGGGTAATCTTTCATTTCAAATTTATGAGCGGAGAGGGAAAACGAATTTAGTGTTATAAATACATTTTCTTAAAAGTTAAAAAACTCCAAAGTTTCTCCAAATTAAATTGAATTAAAATGTATTCTAGTATTCTTGTTTCTTTTTTATAAAGCATTTTTAATCAAATATATTTTCCATTTTAAAGTCGAAAAGTAATAGAAGTGAGTAGAGTAGAGAGTCCGATTTTTTCCCGTGAATAAATACCCCAAACATGATAAGAGTATTGAAAGCGCCATTTAATGTTTGACACGGCAAATATGGCTCAAGTTTTTTTGCTTAGGCTTCGTGACTAAGCAAAAAGTTCAATGAATCGCGAATTGAGCCGATACGAGTTTAGAATTGATTTAAACGAGTCAGCGTGCGCTGTTAGACTGAAGCAAGCGTCGAGGGAACACCCAGACCACTGTTATCGGAGTATAAGCGAACTGAAAGTGTTTGCTAGTCTGTGTTATCACCGATATACAATGTATTATTTTGTTTGATCAAAAGCTGTTTGGCTTCTGCCTGGAACCGGTACGAGTTATCTGACTTCGCTAACACCCTTATATGCTCTTATGTATCTAATGAAAAAACTCCCATAAAACGGTATATAAAGTACTGAGACCAATAATACAAGTACTAATAATAATATTCTTGTTATTATTATAAATAGCAATATATTATGTTATATTTTATATGTTATCAAATAAATATTAATTCAATTGTACTCAACTTAGGGTAAATTTTCAAAGCTATGACATTTTACTGAAACAATTTTACATACCAACGTATCTTTAGTTTCAAATTCTTGATTATAATCCGAACTTTCTATCACTTATAGTTACCGAGATATCTCGTTTTCTTGAAAATGCGAAAACCGTCTTTTGAGCTTGGTGGGCGTTGGGGTTGGTGTGGCCAGATAGTACCACTAAAAGATGCGCTGGCATCCAAAGTTTATACATACTGAATTTCAACTTTCTAGCTCTAATAGTTCCCAAGATTTTAGCGATTTTCGCGATTTGTAGGCGTTAGAGTGGGCGTGGCAGGATGCTGAAATAAACTGGCGCTGTCCCGGGACCTCAAGAACTTTCATGCTCAATCTCATCTTTGTATCTGCTATAGTTCCTGAGATCTCAGCGTTCATACAGACGGGCGGACTGACAGACGGACATGACTCAATCAACTTCGTTATTGATCCTGATCAAGAATATATATACTTTATAAGGTCGGAAACGCTTCCTTCTATCTGTTACATACTTTTCAACGAATCTAGTATACCCTTTTACTCTACGAGTAACGGGTATAAAAACATTTATTTTACATTTCGTATTAAGAACCGTGTTTCCAATGAAATAATTGTAATTTCACGTCAAAGTTTTCATATCGTATTCTATATATTTTTAGCTCAAAATCATTAGATGAATCGTTTAGCATGGAAAGACACTTCCCATTATTAGGTGAGCATCTAAGATAATTTATCATTTTTTTCCAAAAACCAATTTGCAATCATTTAGTTGTAGTGGCAGTTTTTCTTCTGCCTGACATCACTCATCCGCAGGAGTCAGTTGATGACTTCGAAATCCCAGTGGAAATAACGACAGTACGCGAAAGCAAGGATATCTTGGGACCTGTTCAACTGAAGCGTATAGAAGGAAGGACTCGCCAGGTCCGAAGACTAAATACTGATGAAAAGAACCTTACAGGCAATATGGTTGAAAACTATTGCTGCTTCTGGATATATCAAGCTCATCCACCGATTCCCTTCACCTGGAAACATATGGCTGAATATCCTTTCGACTTTCAATTCAACGGCGAATTCGTGAAGAATCAACGCCATAATGCAGTTGAGGTACCTGTGCCTAAAGGTGAAGGCCAGAACTTGAAAAAGCTATTAACTAAATTAAATTAATTTTTCAAAAATATTCTTAAGCCTTTTCTATAATTACATTAGCAAGTATATCTAGCTACATACATATATATGCCAACAATCGATTGTGTGCACTGTGGCGATGCATTTAATTGGCCCTTCGGCACTTGACAGCTTAACTGAGGACTAGAATTATAATTAACTTTGTCTGGGCAGGAAAACCTGACGACGGGGCCAAAGTTGCCTCAAAAGTTAAGAAATTTGTTTGGCGAGCCCAAAGCAAAATTTATGGGGAAGAAGGAGAGCCGCTTTTTGTGCCTAAAAGCCTGACAGGACATAATGGATTTGACACATTATAATCAGGTTTGCATAGTGTCCTTCGCCCAGTCTGTCAGTCACTCAGTCAGTCAGTCACTGAGTCGAGCGGTCCCTGGAGCTATCTGGAAACTTGGCCGCTTTGACGTGCTCTGCTTATTTGGTCAGCAAGTTGTTGTAGTTAGCTCAAGACCCTACACAGTGAAAAAATGTCACTAAGGCTTGAGTGTACTGTAAATTTTCCTAAGAACTTAAATAAAATATATATTTTGGTGTTTGAAGTACAAAATCAAAAATATTTTTAATTTTTCTTTTTATCCATTTTGTTTGATTGAAAAAAGATTAAACAATTTCAGAAAATTAGAAGGACTAGAAAAAGTCTAGTAAAAGTAGTTAACTTAATTCTTATAATATGATAACAAATTCAAAAAGTATACGTCAAATTGGTTGTAATTGATTACACATTTTTAAACGTGTTTAAAAATAATTATAATATATTATATATTATTACAGCTCTCATAATATTAACAACAATTTCTCCCTGTGTAGTAGTTGCCCATCATAGCAGTGCTGAGAAGTTTGATAAATAAGCAAGACCGGGCCCATGTCTGGGCATTTACTTAGTTAATTAAATTCAACTTCTTTGGCCGAGGGAAATGACAGGCGGAGGCAAAGGAGCAAGAGTGAATGGCTGCAGGGGGAGCAGAGGAGCAGGTGCTGCCCCCCAAGTTTTCCCTGGGAAATCCTGACTGGGAAAAGTTTGCCCGTCGTATTTGTTCATATCATAGGTAAATATATCCTGGACGGTAGCCTCGATGTTTGCTTTTAATTTCGCCTTTTCTTTTGCCTTTGGTTTTTAATGTGTCCGGATGATTAGAAGCGCCAGCATCCTGGACCAAAACCTGACCAAGGCTATTTGCATGACTCACATGGTTTGGTACCGGCAATTTCCTGCTCCAATGACTAATGAAAATGGTGAAAAGATTTAAATTTACCGCACTGGGAGACAAGCACACACAAAAGGCACTTTCCTTTTGCCATTCTTGAAGGATCTTATAGCCAACTCCTCCTCGAATAAATTGCTTGGCATCGGTGTGGGTGTGGGTAAACTTATGCAAGCAAATAATTTCGATTTAAATCGATTTAAAATGGAAACGAATGAGTGTACATATGTACATATACGCATCGGAAAAGTGTTTTATGCAAATGCACATATGGATTATTTGCACAGGGAAAACGTTAAGAATGAATGCAAGCATTTTGCGTTTATATTTTATTAAGAATTTTGTTAATTTTAGTTATTAATTAACAAATATTGTACAATTTGAAAAGAAAGACACGTATCTAGGCTTTTGATAGTCAATTAAGCTTTGAATATATCTAAAGTATTTAAATTCCTCTGATCAGAAGTGATTACTTTAAATAACTTAGATATTAAAAATTATTCATATTAGAACAACTTGAAAAAATTATATTGAAATACTTTAAAAAAATTAAAGGTGTAAAAAAATGTTTTAGCAACTAGTTTTAAAGTTTTAAATTTCTAACGCATAAACTTAAATTTCTAATTTGAAATCAATTTTTTTAAAATAATATCGAAAACTGTCGATGAATTAAAATGCGATGATCGATTTGTATCTCGGCTAGCAGGAAGGTTGATGTCGCGACTATACTGAAGTAAAGAACAGAACCCAATAGTGATCGCCCAGCTGGTACCATCAGCTGGTAAAGTTCGCGCGCTTTTAATGCTAAAATTATTGTGCAAAATTGTTTTGTTTATGTCGCAGCGTAAATTAAATTTAATTTGTTTTAAGTTTTAAAAAGTGGATAAGTGCATTTCAAGATGTCTGTAATGCTGGCGAACATTGATGCCACATGTGCAGCCTTGGGTTACACTGATGGCGATAAATATGAGGCGGAGCCCGATGCTGCAGAGGCTCTCAAGGTATTTCTTTTATCAATTCAATCATATCCCTTTAAAGCTCATATGTTACTATGTTTCCAGCATCTTATTTGGATCCTGCGTCGAGATTTGGATAACCATGAATACCGCCGCCATTTGGGCAGAGCCAAGGTGCTCCAAACGGATTTGGTTTACATGCTGCCGGATTATGTGCATCATGAGGAATTGTCTGACCTACTCATCCGCCTGCTAGTCATCCTAACTAATCCCACACTGCTGCTCTACAGAGAGGGTGCTCCCAAGGACAATCATGGCAGGAAAGTGTTTATGGAGCTCATTGATATCTTGCAGGGTTACAAAGCTGCCCTAGCCAAGGATAAATTTTGGACTTCCTTGTTCGAGAAACTCAAGCAGGCTCTGGAAATTGTAAGTTTTAGTTATTGAATAGATATAAGTCAGTCCCCTTCCCAGTTATGTATATAGAACTAAAAATATGGTACAAATAATGCCACAAAACAATTATTTTATGGATACACCGAGTCCAAGGGATAGCAGTACGACCAGTGACAATGATGAGAATGAAACGACCGGCAATGTGAGCTTCTACACTTGTATGGTATGCATGCGCTCAGCTCGTAAGCCCAGAGTGAGCTTCTGTGGTCACCTTTTCTGCACCAAGTGCATTCGCAACTGGATGAAGATGAAGGGATCGAGGGCCAAGTGTCCATATTGCCAATCTCGGGTCGGCGAGAATACACTCGTAACCGTTCGATATGGAAGGGCCATTTTTTAGTCGTACATGCCGACCTCTTAGGCATCATCGTCGTCGTCTCAATAATAATACTAATTATATCAGGGAATGGGCCATTTTGCCCGAGGCGGCGATGTTTCAACGCGGCTATATTGACTATTCACCGGAACCGATGCCTAGGATCAGACCATTGCCGCCGCAGATGCTATACCAGTTGCCATGTCCACCAATGCGTCGTAGATATATGCCTCACACGTTCCACCAACGAGGCATTACCTTCATCATTATGGTGTTCCTGTTCGTTGCGTATCTGAATACCGCATCACCGCCTCCTTTTTAGAGTCTGCAGCAGCAGCCATTAAAAATTCTAAGTCCACTAATTCTGACTGCAATGTTTGAATTGAGATTTTTGAGAGCCGCCAATTCGATATTTGGGTGTGTCAGATGATTAGACCTGCCCTGGAATATTATACCGACCTTTATCATTGTGCTGTTCTTTTCGTATGTAAATACCGCTTCACCGCCACCTGCTTTAGAGCCCGCTGCTGTAGCCATTAAAAATTCAAAGTCCAGTGATGTTGATTCCAATGTTGGAATGGGGACTTTTAAAAGCTGTCAACTCGAGATTTTTAGTTTAATTAATCTTCAATAAGGCGGGCCAGATGTTAAGACCTGCCTTGGAATCTTGTACTTTGTCATAATTTATAATTCTATAAACGATATTATTTTATCTTATTATATAATCATCGTTATTTTTAAGTTCTTATTGGAAAAAACAGGGTATTTTGGAAAAGTTTTCTTACTAAACAGTACATCATTTTTAAGCTAAGCCTCAGTTAACTTCTTTCAAATGTGAGCTACAAGTATAATTAATTGGAATTATTATTAGCTTGTTTTTCATCCCTCAAACATTTTTTCGTTATCCTTGTAAATTGACCCACCCTAGTGGATTAGGGCTCCTGTTCTAAAGCCCAGGCAATTATCGTTCGGGCATTTGCTGAACTATTCCTGTAATCTTTTTAATCTATGTATTAATGGGCAAGCGGGTACGCAAAACTTTTAATGGCCCTTGCAGCTGGCAGGAGTCAAGTTTTTGGTGGGTAGAGAAAATGCTTTTTACATTGCTCAACCCACTTGAAGTTTGTTTTGGCCAGTTCTGGCTTTATGACTCAGCTCGTCGTCGTCTCCTTTTGTGGGTTCATAACTAATTTGAACTTCATATCTACTCACTTTTATCTTCTTTATTTGTGTTTGTTCCTTGCACCCTTTTTTCTGGCTTTATACCCTCAACTTAAGCTCCTCAAGTGTAGTTCTCTTGCTTTGTGGCAGCTGAAAAGTAAAGATGGAATTTAATTTAAAATAACTCACAATATGAAATCAAAACTGTAAAGGGTTCCCCTGGTTTATTCAACTTTCAAGCCGCAACCAGTCAATTTAATCAACACCCACGACATGTTGGCGGTTAGGCAGTTTTTACTGTGGGTGCCAATATGACTACAAGGCACCTTCAAATCAAACTCACACGGTTGAGAACAGGAATTTCATTCCGGCCTAGACGAATCCACAAAATCTGTCCATACCAGGCTACAAACAAACAAAATAGAAACCCAAACCAAATGGTATTGAAGCAACATCGGTGGGTCGAGACATTGTTGAAACCACAAAGGCCAAAGCCCAGCAACAATGATTGTCAATCGATGGCAGTCTGAGTTTTTCAAATGCTTTCAATTGCTAGTTGTTAGATTAAAAAAATTGAGAAACAAGAGAACAATATTTGAATGCTCTTAAAAAATTAAGAAACATAAATTACTTATTGATTTGAGTCCTCTTTAGGTGCATTTTTATGTGTAAATTAAAATATTTAATTTCATTTTTTAAAGCTATAAATCTTATATATATTACCCATTCCATTTTCTTCAGATTTAATTGAAGTAAAAGGAATATTTATGTGTTTAACTTATAATTTTTCCACTTTTTTAACTCATACAAAATTCAATAGAAAATTTATAAAACCTTTTGAAAGAGTATAAAGCAAAATGTTTACCCCAGCTCGAAACAAGCTGCGGGCATCCAGAAAATATAAAAAAAGGATCTTGATTTTTGTGTGCAATTTATGGATGAGTTCCGACAGGATTGCTATAAATTTGTAATTGAAAATTTACATTGAATAGAAAAGTTGTATTTGTTTTGTGGGAATAACTATTTTCTTAGACCAAATAGGGGATAGATGTTCCTAACAATTATCATAAGTTAAATCCTGGTAACCGGAAACGTAAATCTCAAAGATGAGAGAGCGGAAGCAGCCGCCAGAAGTTCCTAGCCTCCACAACCCATCGCCTAACACAACGAAATAAATTCATTTAAAGCCGATTGAATCGACATTCATAACACTCCGGGGAGCAATTCCAAAGGATTTTCATGGCGCTGCGTTGCCAAAGAGTCGCCCGAGGATTTCTTTACATTTCCATTTTTTAGGGAGCGCTTTTCCTTTTATTTGTGCCGTTTTCCTCGGTTTTTCGAATCTTTCTGTTTTTTTTCTGCTTTTTGTTAGGTTAAATGCAGGCGAATTTCTATATGGACGCTGTCTATTTGTTCTTGTTGCTGTGTGGCTGTTGTCGTTGATAATGAATGTGTACGAGGATTTTTCCGCTGTTGCCTCTGGCGGATACGCCCCTTGCTCTTCCTTGATTCTGCACTAAAAAAATATCTTAATTAATAATAAGAAATTTGTTATTGGAGATACCAACCACTTCAACGAGCGGTAGGGCTTTTCTGAACTCTATATTAGTTTTTCAAATTGTATTTTATATTGTTTTTCCATAGAGTTTTTTTTTTAAAGTTTTCCTCGCAGTGTATCGTTGTTGCTGACTTTTTATGCTTTACTTCTTTATTTGCGTCGCGCCGACTTACACGCTTTGATGTATGCGCGGCGAGCAGCCAAGTGGACAGGCGGGAGTAGGAGTAGCTTCTGCCCCATTCTCAACTTTCTCCGATCCGAAGGAAAGCTTTCAGTTTTGAATGAGCCACAGGCCCGCTGGCTCTGGGTGTTGCTTTCGTTGTTGTTGCTGTTGCGTAGGGAAACCAAAAACGGAAGTCATTATTAACTTTGCCTTTGAGATGGGCTCTTCGTAGGTCCTGAGGTCTGGAGTTCCTGCCTGGATGTAGATGTTGGTATGGGTATGGGTATGGGTGTCTATGTCCGGGTGAAGGAGGAGTCACAGCTGGCTTGTAGGCACAAAAGCCGCATTAGTTGTATTTATTTTTAAGCTCACAGCAGCAACTGTAATGTCCTGCTGGGTTTGCTCCTGCTCCGGTCCAACCCTAACCCATGGAGCCCATCCACCCACCCACATTTTTTTTGTGCCACCCAAGGCATTTCCTCTTAACGCCCACACCATGCTCAAATTGATTTCAACTTGACTTTGTTGTGGTCCCATCGCTTGTCTTGTGCCCTAAATTCGGGGCTTCCGTTTTACAGTCGAGCTACATAAATTTGCAATTTAATTTAATTTAATTTCATTTGATTATTTTAACTTGACTCGCGGGATTTGGTGCTTAGATTTTTACACTGGGATTTGCTGCAGCATTTTATTACACTGACTTCTAATGGCAGGCTTTGACTTTCCTTTCAGGCCTTTGCCATACGCAGCGAAGAGCAAAATCTTCTGATTGAACGCATCCTGGTGCTGGTAAGGAATGTCCTGCAGGTGCCAGCAAACCCAGAGGCCGAGTGCCGGGCAGACAACGATGCCAGTCTCCATGATCAGGTCATTTGGGCCTTGCATCAAACTGGAATGCTGGATTTAGTACTATTTGTGATATCCTCGCCGGATGAGGAGCAGTTCCATCTGCACGGACTGGAAATTGTCTGCCTGCTGTTCAGGGAACAGGTTTGTTATCGTTTATTTAATATGCCTCAATCCCTTTTTAATTTTTCAATATATTTCAGAGTGCCGAATCCCTGGCGGATGCCTCCCTGCAGCGTGGTCTCAGCGAGAAGCAACGCGACCAGCAAGAACTTATGGCGGCAAGACGCCGGGAGCGTGCTCGCCGTCAGGCTCGTCCACCTCCAGGGCGGCATTCCCGTTTCGGCGGCACCTACGTCATCCGGAACATGAAGTCCGTATCTGATCGCGATGTGATATGCCACCAGGCCCTAGAGCGAGTAACATCGATCGATTTTGACCGGGAGAAAGAACAACAGAAGCGGTCCCATCGCCATATACAAGAGGAGGCGCAGGTGACCCGCCGCAGTGCGTTCACCGTGAGGTGAGTCATGGGGTAGTCCGTAACCCAAAGCCATATCCATTTGTCTGTGGCCACTTCCTGCACTTTGGCTCTGTGCTCCGGGAGACCATGCCTATTGTGCGGCTGGTGGTGTGGCCATTAGCATCGGAATTGTTATGGCCACCAACCGACTGCGGGGCCACATCCCGGCCATTGATTTTCGATTTTACGCTGCCAGGACAGCCGTATCCGAGAGATTGAACCGGAGCGAGTGAGCAACCGAGCGAGCGTATAAAATAATATTCAATAATAAATGAAGCCATTTCCTTTTGGCCCTTTCGGTTCATGCCGCTCCTTCCCCCATTTCGGCCACCCATCTGCCTGTAATTCCTGCTGTTTTATAGAATCGCACAAACGATATTGGCTGCTAGGGGCTCTCTGGTTCCCTGACTCTCTGGGTTCCGCCTGACTTGGCCGGGCTAAACAATATCTTGGCGCCGAACGCCTCTGTCGCCGCTCCCCCTAATGGCCACCAGGTGCAGCTATTTTATGCTTCTCCGCTAACCAACAAACTACTTAAAGGATCTGCCTTTCTGCCCGCAGGACAAGGTGCCCGGGATGCCCGCTATCCGGGCCTTCTTGAATAGTTACACCAAATGCATTCGTTGCGGTCACGGGTTTCCTTTTTTTTGGTAAGAGAAAAATATACCCTAGTTGGAGGGAGAATATACAAAACCTATCCTTTAATAAGATATAATGCCAACTATTCGAATCTTACGGCAGTTTGTTTCTGAATTTCTAAGTTATGAATTTCAAATGTATAACTTGAATGATTAATAGACTATCCTAAACTATCATAAAATCTTTAATCTATACAAAGTATTAAATAACATGCCAACATATACAATGTTCTGTAGTCACATTTGATATTCTAAAAGATAACTCTCATCGAAATCCTTTCGCCAACCCTCAGAGCATTTATAGTTCGCCTGTAAGGTCCAGAGTTCTTCCTCAATTTGTGGCATGGAGCATAAAAACCCGTGCAAAGATAAAACTGCAGCAGCAACTTGGCGGCGCCATCGGCATTTTCTGCATCGCCATTGCCATCGGCATCGACTTTGGGATCTCTGGCCGGCGAGGCATGCAATTTTCAAGTAAAATCCTCAAAAGGATTTTCCTTTTTTTTCGCCATTTTCCGCTGCGATTTTGTAGCTGGCTGGCAACATTTTTGCTTGTTAGTCGGCCAGTGTGTTTTCTGGCCTGGTTTATGGGGCAAGATGCTTAGCCCCGTCGGTTGGCCAAATCTTTAGGCGCCCATAAATTGATGGAGCAGAACAAATGTGACCGAGGCGACGCCGGTGCCTGTGATTAGACAACTCCAAATGTCCCATTTAGCCAGAGAAACGAATGGCCAAGTCAGAGGGCCAAGAGGCACGTAGGCGGAAAAAAGGCGAAAGTTCATCAATGTCACGTGTTGGAGCACCGTGCACCCTAACAATTTGTTAGCCAACCACAAGTGCATGTTGCAATAAGCCGACAAGGAGGGGAATCCTATCTCTTTTTTTTTTTGCAGTTGCCCCTCCTTTTTTGGCATAAATTAATCCGCGTCGGCATCGATGCGTTGGATTTGTGTTTCGCCTGCTGGCAGAGATTGCTCTCCGCTCGAAAGGATTGGGGATGGTTGGGCTGTTTGGTTGGTTGGCTGGCTGGCTGCATCTTTTAGCCAGCTTTGCACAAATAAATTGGCCAGGCGAAATTTATTGCATCAGCGCTGCCAAATGCCGTTGCAGCGTCCGCATTTGTTATATAAACTGATAGAGGGCGTTCGCTTTCAATCAATATTATTGTGGTATAACCATTTTTCATGTCTTTCCCCCCACTCTCTCACTTTTTAGCTTTTGGATTTTTCTCACATTTTTTTTTTTTTACTGGCTTTTGCAGATTGTGCCTGCGCGAGTACTGCATCGAGGTACTGCGCTCCGCTTACAACACGCTGGTGAGGCAGGTGCGTCGTGTCCTGGAACGCAATGCCGGCTCGTCGAGTCACGATGACTCCTATCTATTGTGGGCCATACGATTTTTCATGGAGTTCAATCGTTTGAGTGGTCTACAATTGCAGTTAGTCAGGTGAGTGGCACTCAAGTGGGTTTGGCAATAGAACTGAGAATTTTTTGGAATATATATATGAGTCTTTGTTTCTGATGGATTTAAGAACTTTATAAAACTTTATTACATATTTAATATATGATATTTCTTTAATTAATCTGAAACATTAAAGAAACAAAGTTTTTCATAAGAAAAATTGCATTAAATGATGATACATTTAGCATCACTGGCATATGATTTCTGTTTGCCAATGCCATTGCGTAAAAGAGAGTACGACTTGGCCCAGATATGCCTCACAATGAATGCTTAAAGAGTTCAAATGAATTGCCTACAAGTTTCAAAGAAGCTGAAGAGTAGTTCTCGAAAAGTGATATGATGATGCTGCTGATGAATAAGGTTTGCTTTCAAAGGCTAATGAAACGCCGACCTAGTCCTCCTCTGACCAAGTCAGCAGATATGCAAATCCCCGGGGCACAAGCTACTCGCTCTCTCTCTCTGTATGAAAACCGCCTCCATCAAGGCTTTTAATCAAATTACTTCGCAACACTCTTCAAGTGAAGGAAATTCTGCCAAACTTTTATTTCGCTGGCCACTCTCACTTTGAACATTTTTCCTCAAAGAAGCCAAATTTAAACTGATGTTGGAATTTGATACAGGAAAAAACTGTCTGAGGTTCAACAAGTGCTTAACTATTTAAGTTGTTTAAAAGTGAATTTTTTATTAGATTTTCACTCAGATTTAATAAATTTCAAATTGCAATGTGCTTTAAACTAATAAGTCATATTTCATTCTACAATTGCCGGTAGGATTATAAGAATTATTTATAGGATTAGCTTTGATTTAATAGTTTGTAAATATTAATTAGAATTGTTTCAATCTGACTTTCCATAAGTGGTTTTTTATTGCAAACTTAGATATGAGAATTTATATGTGAAATATAAATAAATTTGGTTTTATAAGTTTAAAAAATGGAAAATTTATGGGAACTACAATAATTTATTTTGTTGGTTAAAAAAACTACACAACTTGAAGTTTAATATTAGCCTTTGCTAAACTTAAAATTGATTTTTCTGATTCGTTTTCGCCCACAAACAATCTTCATAATACTTATTTTTATCTGTCGAAAGGACAATCCATCATCTGAACTGTTGAAGCGAGAAAAGTAGGGACCGCTTATAAGGGGTATTTTCAATGGTTTCCATTTGCTAGTTTTCCTTCTCTTATTTGTTTTTTTTTTTTTAATAAAAGAGTAAAGTGCGCAGCAAATAAACTTTAGTATGATGACAATTGCCAAGCAGAGTGTCACTGTGAAATGCGAAGCGTTTCTATAGCTTTTGACCCCAAGAATTTTTTTTCCTGCGGTCACAACAAAATTTGTATGTCATTGTTCGGTTGTTCGACATCAGAGCTTCGTCACTAGAGTTTTATTGCATTACTTTTTGGCAGAGGTCAACAACAAACACATGCACAAATCAAAGTCACGACGCCAATTGTTGACCCACGGCCACTTGGCCACTTTACAGCCACTGCAAGGCTACTCACTCGGCTCCTCTTTGGAGTGCACAGCATGCCCTGTAATATTCTTGGCCAAAGTTGTCAAACGAACTATACCGATACCATGATTTTGCAACACTGCGGGAAATTAGGTTGTCCAAATTGTAGATTTATTTAATCTTAAAGAATTTTACAAGATTTTTGTTAGTTTTTTGTGGTTGTCTTATCATAAAAAAGTGTGTTAGAAATAAATTTTATAAATGGCTAGTTTATTATTATTTTCCTCAGTGTATCTCCCTTTGCCGGTATTTCTACTGTTGTTGTTTTCATTCTTGTCCAGCATGCTGTTAATAAAATTTTGCGTTCTTTATGTTGTCATCCGGCTGACGTTGCTCCTTCTCCTTCTCCGGATTCGGGGTATCCGGAGTCGGATCCAGCTCCCTTTTGGTCTTCCTTCGCTGGCTGTGTGGTAGGAAATTTCTTTAAAATTGTTTTGGTTACTTTCAAATTAGTTTCTGAATGACAACAATGAAGCTTTGCAAAAATGTTGTCATTCCGTTGGCGCAAAGTTTTTCCCAGACCCGTTTTTCCCTTTATCCCCGCTTTCTCAACTGTAGGGCAACTCCCTCGCACTATTCTAAGTTGGTAGCTCCTGCTCCTGTTTTTCATTTTCAGCAATGTCCCTCTGCCTTTTATCAGACTTTTTCGTCTCATTTTTCTCTGCATATACTATATATATAGTAAAGTAAAGTATATATAGTACGCATCCCTAGGTATATATATATGTAGTTGCCAACCATAAAACTTTCTGTTTATTTCCTCAAATGCAATTTGACGCTGGCCCCTCACCGCCCCGAACTTTCTTTATCGTCTGCCATTTTCTACTGATTTTGCACTATATAAAGCATGGCATTGCCGTAATGTATGGGCTTTCAGATGGGCAAAGTTTTCCAACCGCCAGCAACCCGAAAAAAAAGTGAAATTGAGTTTGTCATTTTGTTTATGCGAGTACACGTACAAAGAATTGATACGGAAATCAATCGTTGGAGTCGAAGAATGAGCAGCTTCTCATGCATGGCAGATATTCAATTGATGAAATCAATGGGTGCTGAAGGAAAATAAAAACAATTGGCTTCTTGAAAAACTTATGAATGGGAATTTCCATTGAGTTTTTTTTAAATTTTTAAAATCTTATTTTTAATACTCTAGACCCATTTATTTATTTTTATTTTTCCATTTCAAACTAATTCAACCTCCTGAAACTCTTATGTTTTTGTAAACTTATTTTGAATATATACGTACCCAGTTAAAATCTCAATTAGTTTACTTGCTTTTTACTATTTCTACGATAAAAGTTTCAACATCAATCAAAGCTTTTTCCGCTTGTTCCCCATTACCACATTTATCGTGCTGCTGCTCATTGCACTTTTATTGATTTTATAATTTATTTATTTAGGTTCTTATTGCTGTTGCACTGCCGCACATCTGTAATTAATTTGTTTTTAATGCCTCTTCAGATGCTCTCGACGTTGTCGCAAAACTTTAATGGTGGTCGCAGCAGACGTTGGGCTGTGCTAATTTAGCCAAGTTGCAGGCAAATGCTGCTTCCACCATCACCGGAAGTGGGTGGTTTAGTTTTGGGTGAAGCTGCAGTTGGATTGGTGGCTTGTTAGATGGGTGGGGAAGTGGGTTGTTCAGGTTTTGGTGGCAACTGGGTAACGTGCGGCATGTCAACGCCCACTGGTTCTTGCGTCCTTGAAGGCGAAGGGGCAAGTGAAACTTAGGCTGGCTGGCGCTCAATTCTAGCGCTACTTAAAAATTAATTTTGTTAATGAGTTTTTCGCTGTGCGAGTTGCAAGTGGCAGACGGTAGACGGGAAGCTGCTTACCTGTTTTCCAGCTCCTTCCTGCCAACTTTGGCCAACTTTAATGCAGAATTTTACTACTTAAATATGCACTTAAACGTAACCACTCACACTATATACTCGTATGATGCAGCGTACACTTGTAATAAAATATTTCATTTAATTATCTTGGCATAAAATAACACTTTTAAAAGCCAAAAAATTGTTTTAAAAAGACGGATTTAATTACTAGAATAACGATAATGTAATCTTTATTTGAAGATTACATTTTAAGTTTCATTTATTATTTTTTCTACACATCATCTATACATTTGTCTTATATACGAGTTTATATATGTATTTTTTAATTTTTACATTTAAGTTTAACATTTACCCAGCTGTGTATACATGTGTGTAATGTAACCGTGTTGGCTTTTTCCATTTCATTCACAGCGAATCGTTGAGCGTGCAATGCTTCCACTGGGTCCTGACGCGCATGCAACATGACATGGACATGATTGTGAGCGACAAGAAACAGGCGCGTCTCTGGGCCAAGCGACTGCATGTAGCCCTTTTGGTAAGTCACTCCGCTTCCAGGTTCAGTTTGAGGTCCTGCCCCAATCTGCTTCATCCTTCCATTCAGATCCCGCTTGGCCATCATCTAAGCCGAGACAGAGACAGAGAGGGAGAGAGAGTGTGAAGTGTGTGTGCGGGTCTGTTGTTGTTTGCTTTGGCGTTGTAAGTGCACTTTTGGGGGCACTCTGTTGCCGCTCGACGTTTGCCTTGGATTAAGCTTGGTGCCTGCCGGCTGGTGCTGCTCGTTGGTACTCCGTACTCCCAGTACTCAAGCCAAGCTCAACGTATCCTTTAAGCCCGTCGGAATGATGGGGAAAACTTCAAATGAACAGCGGGATTTGCCGAGGATTAGCCCGAGAAACGCCAGGCACAAAAGGTTTCTTTGATCCTCCTGCTCAAGATATGAGCTTATATAACACACCAATTAAATGGATAATGGATGGGGATATCAAAGGATATTATTTGATATACGAGTATCCACAAACAAAAGTAATCTAAATAGACAAAACTAATGATTAGACAAGACCATATTCATTACCATTTCACAGTAACAGACTTAGTTCAAAGTAAACCCAATCAAATCAGTTTACACTAAGGATACTTGGACTTGCCACAAGCAAAGGACAGCGTTTATAATTACTGACGTGTGTGAGAAGTCTCCTACCAATAGTCAGATCCTTGGACTCATTACAATGCGACACACACGCACTGGCACCAGCACCACCCCATCTCTTTCCAATCAAATACTCCAGCGTCTGCCAAGTTAATGCTTACCAATTTTTTAATTAAAGACATTCCGGGAATTGCTCCAAAGCCTGTTGGCACTGCAGAAGCTTAAGGATGACAGCAACGCGCGGGCCCTGTTCGATATGTTATTGAACAACGTGTGCTATGTGCTGGAGTATCGGGAGACAGTGCTGCATTTGTTAATGAACTACAATGAGGCGCATAGCACAAAGTGAGTACCCGAGCGAATAACCATTCCAACTATGCACATACATTCCGATTGAAAATAACTTGCCCTTCCGCCCATGCTAAAACCCATCATACCCATACCGAACCGACCCGAATTTGGAAACCATCTCCATGGCCCGGCTGGTTGGCTGCATTTCTGATAGATAACGGCCACGACCCCGTGGCATCCGCAAATAAGCAAGCCAAACACACATCCTCTAATGGGATTACTACGAGCACTTGCTCCAAAAGCCCACCAACCATCCCTCTAACGAAATATGCAGTGCAGGCTGTCAGGATATCGCCCTTTCTGCCAGGATCTCTCGCCCCGACAATCAGGCATTGTTTGTCTTGGCGGCATGCCTTTGTCTTGAGTCTTGGTCTGTTTGTTCGGCTATTTGCACAGATGTCTGCTGGGTCGCCAAAAGCTTCCCTATTAGTGCTGACGAGCTAGTGGTTTTCGTATGACATTCCAACTAGGAAAAAGTTAATGGGAAATAAATGTTTTCGAGTTTCAAGATATTTAATTTATAAAAATTCCTGACTAGTTTACATACTTAAAATGCTTCCCCTTGGAAATCACTCTTTTAAAAGTGCCTAAAAGTAGGCAGCAAAATAAGCGTCGTCTTTTGAAATTGTTCAATCAGGTTTTCTCTTTCTAAATATACTCCCATATTGTTTTATATTTCTAAATTTCTTGTTTACTTTATAAATATTTTCTTTGAAATATTCTTTTGCCCGTCCAGTTTAGCGAACTTTTATCATCCGACAGCACTATCCCCAAAAACAGAGTTCAGTGAATGTGGCTTGCTTATATACATACATATGCGTGTATTCCCCCAAAAGCCGGAATCGGTAAATGAACTAGTTGCACATTCCTCGCGAGGAGGCAATGGGAGTTGGCTAAAAGTTTAATTGATTTTACAAGCATGTGCTGAACGCGTGCTCTGGCATAAAAATTATGCCATCAGCCAGAAGCTAACCCTTACTAGCTTAGAGCGAGAGTGTGTTTTATTTTTTTCCCAGGGCAAATCGTGCACCTTGGCTGCATCTTAATTGCCAAGTTAACACCGAGCTCTCTGCACGAAAGCTGAATCGAGATTATTTCAATCGAAGCGTGTGCCACACTGCGGCTACTTGATAAATCGCTGCAGAGCATTGAATATACTGCAACTTCAACAGATTCAACAGGGGGATTTTCATGATTTACTCGTAGGTGCAGAAAGTGATTTTAAACTCATTACCTACATATTATGGAGTTCATTGACACAACGAGCACTCCATAAAAACTCATTTACTTTCAGCAATTGGATAGGCATTAAAAAGCATGATCATACTTTCCTGCCACTCCATGGGTGCTTGCTTTCTAAAAAACCTTTTGAAAAGGATAACGCATATCTGGCAGATCCTTTTTAAATGCAAGCCACTGCGCAATCCATTTAAATAATTGCGATTTTTTATACTGCCGAACATGAAGAGTTAGACTCACTTGAATATTTCTAAATGGCTGCACAAATTCGCCTGTCAAACAAACTCGACTCCCCGAGTGCTCTGTGTCGAGTGATACCTGCAATAAATGCCTGAAAATTTATTTCTGTGTCACAGACTCTCGAATGACAGTGGCAAAGAGAGGTGCAATGGGTTCCCAAAAGTTTCTAATCTTGTCAGTTAGCATTTAATTTAATTATCTAACTCGTGTTCATAAGAACCTTTTTATGTCGACTTTAAAAGTTTACCAAAAATTATTCTTTTCTCTGTGAATGAAAAAGAGGTGAAATCAAAAGCAGTATTTGGGTACCCAGAATTTGTTATATTTCTATTCAATGGTTTTAGTTTGGGTCTCTAACATTTGTTTTGTTTATGAAAAACTAAACAATCGCAAAACAATATTGTTGAAAACTAAATGCAAACCTGTCCGAAAGCGTTTTAAAATTTTTGATTGATTTTAAATATTAATGCGTTGTTTTGGATTCTTTGGGAAGAAGGTTATTTTTTATTCACGACGCTTTTTTGTAGTTTGGTTTTAAAACCATATTGGCATTTTAATTCTTGTTTAACATATAAAAACATTATATTCCACCGGAAGTTTAATCTTTTAAGCTTAACATATGTTTTTTTTTAAACACTACTTAAACCAGACAAGACTAATCAATGTTTCAATGGTTATATTAAATGTTATGTACTTTAAAATGAAAATGAAATTTGTGTTAATTGAGTTCATAAAATAATATCAAAAATGTTAGGCAATAACTTTGCTGTCTTTCAATGTAGATAAGATTAATAATATATGGTCCATGTAGTATGCAGTTCTTTGAATATCCTTAACTTACTCCTTAAACGTTCCACTGTATCCGATGACATAAACAGATAAACAAATTGTTGTGTGCCTGTTGGGTTTTACTGTCGACTATCAACGCATCACATCAGCCAGTAGAGCTGGGCTCTAGTTAGTCGGTCTGAGAGTCTGTTAGTTGGGGCACTGGCAATTTCAAAGCTTTGACTAAATTAATTTAGCGCGCAAACATGAAATTGACAGAGGTTTTGCAGACAGGATGAACAGAGAGAGAGAGAGAGAGAGAGAGGGAGTCAAAGGATGGAATAGTTTGGGTTCAGGAAACTCAATGCAATGGCAGATACAAAACGCAGATATACAGATACATTTGGTAGCATGTAACTGCAGCTGTGTGTGGGATGCTGCTGGGGCAGCAACTGTGACTTAATTGGAGCATGATTAATGCGTAGCGTGCTGAAAATAGTTGGTTTATACAATTTAATCGATTAAACATTAAGTTGCGTCATCAGCGAGCTGAACAGCTTTCAATTAAGCAGGCCAATTGGCAGTCATGTAAATCGTGGTGCGCCTTTTGAACTGCAATCAGTGTTTTTGAGTGTCTGACAGATTAAAGATTTTTCGGTGTCAAGATGAATAATTTATGACTCCGGCTAGCAGCCTCATGCTACCTTTTTGTCCAACGCTCAGATTAATGCCACCCATTTTGCCACAGCTTTGGCTGCCGAAAGTAGTGTTGCCGAGATTTTAGTGGCAAAAATTATTGGAATTATAAAATAGAAATTGATAAACAGTTTGAAAATGTTACGTTTTTAGTTTTGAATAAATTAAAACACTTTTTTATCTCCCACAATCCAAGTAATAATTTTTTTTTTTAAATCAGAAAATCTTTCTTTGTTTTGTTAAACAAATTCCCCTTTCCAAAAGACCACAAATAACTTTTAAAAGGCCAAAAGGACAACACTAACGCCATGTTGCAATCGACGGTTATCAGTCATTGTTGTTGTTGTTGTTGCTGTGGCTGTCATAATTAATAATATTTTCATTATAAACGTCTTATGCCAACAACAAGGCAGCAAAAACAACTGCCCGCAAATAGTCGGCTTGTGTGAGTTTGGGTGTTTTGGGCGCAATTACATTTTATCATTTATTCAACATGCGCCCACAGCTCGCCGCGAAAACAATCCCCATCTTCTTCTGATTTCAGATTCCCTATTCCCGATTCGCAACCCCTGACCTCTAAAGATAACTCCCCCCTCCCACTTCTCTTCAGACACTTGACCAACCCCAAAAACACCCAAGTGTTCTAATTAATTCTGTATGCTCAACCTGCTGCTGCTACTTCAACTTCTTCCTCTCATTTTCCCTGGCACCCTGGCATCTTGCGGCTGTTGGCGTCCATTTAATCAGCGTAAACGCGAATATCAAATCAAGCAACAGCAACAGCAACAACAACAGCTTAAGCTAAGGCTAAAACAGCCAGAAGTTACAAAACCGCGTGCATACAAATTAATTATAAATAATTTATTAACGATTTATCTTTGTCCTGCTGCCAGGCTTTGCTGGTCACATGTGCTTGAGATTGAGTATGTGTGCAGAGAGAATAAAAAGGGGCTCAAACTTGAGCTTATAAGGAGTTAGTTCATTAGAATATAATCTGGCTTTGATCATTTTTCAAGATTTTTAAAAGTAATCAAACTATAAGTTTCTAGGAGGCACCTGCTTTGATTAATCTTATTATGAACTCTATATTTATTTCCTTAACCTTTTCCTTACTATTTTCGGAATTAACTTATCTGGTTTTAGTCCAGTTTTTATATCCTTAATTTCGCCTCTCTGTAGAAGTGTAAATGGCCGTAGTAATAATGGGTGGGGTTGACTCGATTTGCACCTGCGCATCATCATTAGGGCGGTGGGCAGGTTAGGTGGGCAATCGATTTGGATCCGCTTGTAAAATGGTTTGCGGAATGCAATATGTTGTGCAACTATCAAACCGCCCACCTGTCTTTCCGCTGCGGTTACTTGGCGTTGTGGTCAGGTGCCACCAGCATCCGCATCTGCAGTACCGCCACCATCGCCATCGCCGCATCAACTTCGTTCACCAAAAGTAGTGTTGCCAAACTTAGCTGAATGAAATGAAACTCAAAAGTTGCGTTTGCAGAAATTTTAAGTTACAAATGAAATAAAAAATTAAAAAACTAAGTAAGTAGTTCCTACAGTCTTAAAGAGAGAATCTTTTCAGGATATTTATTAATTTCACATTTTACAAAATAATGTAAATCATACTGTTATCTAAATATAAAATTAATATTTCTTATTCTAGCTAAATAGCTAAGTAGTCATTCCCTAGTTCGTAGCAGAAGCCATCATAGCCCGCAGATACCAGCAGTTTTTGCACTGCGCCTGCTGTTAATGCTGCCACCACGGACATCTTTGCGGTAACATCGCCGTCAACTTGGCTGCGCTTGATTCATTTCACATTTCAGTTATCATCAAATGTGCACCGCACAGCAGCCGCAAACAGGACAGGAGCTTGGGATATGGCTATGGAGAAGGGAGATTAGGAGAAAGGGGGTAGTACATATGGGAGCATACATACCACCACTCAAATTTCAAATCCACGTGCACCATACACCATATAACCCACACCTCGGCACTCTCTATCCATTCCCAATCCTTGCAGTCAACTGAGCCCTTTTATCATCAATTGCCACTGAGCAATACTCGTCCCTCCCAGACTCAACCTCCTGTCAATTGTGGTCACTGCTGACAGTTCTTGATCAATACAAATGGCCAAATATCTTGGAATTGGCCGGCTCATGCTAACTGGCTTCCATTCATCTGATGCTTTATGCGGCTGTACAATCTACGGCTTGTTTAGCTCTATTATAGACGTGTAATTTATTGGACTTCTAATTGCTGAGAATAATACAGGTTGAATAATAGAGGTTTTGGGGGTACCAATCAGAGATTTACGTTGTATTTGCGATCTAAATGTTTTACGTTTTGATTTAGATATAACTATTATATAGTTTTAAATACAGATTTTAAACAGATTTTAAAGTTTGTAATTCAAAGTACATTCCCGTATCCATAGCTATTAGCTTAATGACCCAACCCTAATAGGAATCCAAAGACTAACTTTTAAAGACCATTAAACTAACATCTGTGCTTTGAATTTCCTGTATACTAGCTGAAACAAGCCTTTGATTTTTATTAAACACCCACGCTTTTGAATTATTTGGCTGTTTAATTTGGCTAAATGTCTATGCATCTAACGCCATCGATTCCTGGTGACCCGATGGGTCACTGAATGCCGGATAACCACTTTCATTACAAATTCATTTCCCTGGTCGCCGACTCCCAGGATCAACTTGCCAGCTGCGTTGTGGCACATTGACCGCATTCGAAAATGCCGCGCTGATGTTGGAAAGTTCCTGCAGCGCGGCTCACGTGGGGCATTAAAATTCACAATGAATTTGCATAATTTTTCGGCGGCAACAACGCAGCGACCTTTTTTGGGGACATTTTACCATTTTGGTACGCCAACGCAATGTTGCCATTTTTATGAACTCGCGAAACCCTGGCAATTAGAGTGGCGGACGTTGAAAGACTTGAATATGGATTACGCCCACGTATGCAAAGGGAAATATTGGAAAATCAGCTTTGAAGTGGTGGGCGAATTTTAAGGAAAATTTTAGGAATAGAAAACTGGATACAATTAGTATAATAATTTCTGTGTTTTATTTTAGAAATCAGCTTAGCTATATATATGGTGTATTGTCCTCGAATCAAAATTGACATTTCAAAGCTTTTAGATTTCTATTTATTGGTTTCTATATTTGTAGCCCATTATAGAGCCTGTCTACTTTGCATACTCGTCCTGTTTCGCATTGTCCTCTTTCGGTGACTCGCGCGATTTTCATTATTCAACCGGCAATCAATCATTTTAACAAATTGACGTGCACAATGACGTTGGCTTTTATTTTTCGGGGTTCGGGCTGGCTAAAAACAAAGCGGAAGTTAGCTTTGCATAGCGGCAGCTGATTTTGGCAGTTTTAGCGGCTGTCTTCTGCCTCGTTTTTTTACGTTTTTCGTTTTCTTTTTTTTTTTTTTTTTTCGGTTGCCTTTCACATTTTGAGGGTAATTTGCTAATTGGAGGCGTCATCGGCTTCGACAGCAACGGCAATGCCGCATCATCAGTCAGCCCGAATCGAGTTAACCCAGTTAGTAGTCAGTCATGGTGGGCAGCTTTTCCCCTGGCTGTTTAGCGGGCGGACAGGCTGTGGGCGTGGTAGCCTTTGGGCCGTTTTTAATGTACTCGATGATATTCAATAAATATTTTTGGGGCCAACTGGAGAAAAGGTTATTGATGTTCGACTTTGATTTATTCCTTTGGAATTCTTCTCGGTGAATGTAGACATTTTATTGAACATTTTTCCATGAATTTTTGTTATTAAATTAAATATGAGAATATTATGAAATAGGAAATATTATATTTCGAAGAATATTTATGTTTATTAATCGAATGTTATTTTGATAAATTGCTGGCTGAATGGTGAAAATAATTCAATATTTTCTTACAATTTATGAGTTTCTATGCAGATTTATTCCACATTTAAGTGTTAATTTATTAAAACTAAAATATAACTTTTGCAAACCATATTTAAATGTTTTGAGTTTATCATGATATGAAAACTTGTTAATTACCGAGGGTGTGGAATGAACATAAATATTTATTTATAAATTGAATTTGACCCAATGAAATTGAGTTGGAAAAAAATTAAGCATTTGCCACATTTAATTGAATTTTGAGCAATGTGGCATGCATTTTTCATAAAGATACGGGCTCCGCCAGCATCATGCAACAAATTCAATTTGGCCACGTGTGTGTATATTTATATATATAATAAAGAATTTAATTACAATATATCCTGTATATATATTTTCATTTTGTTAACTAACCTCTACTTTGCCCCAACTCCATAGGGTTTTCCTGCGCGATGTGGTGGAGACGGCGAACGTTTTCATTAAAATGATGGAGCGCTTCTGCCAGGACTCGGTGGTGGTGCAGGACAAGAAGAGAGGAGGTGGTGCTGGTCGAAGGAAGAAGAAGTCGGCGACCAAGTCCAAACCGTCAACTGAACCACAGCCCACTGAGGTAAGAGCCAAGTTAAAAATAAGTTTAAACCCACTTCTTGGAAGGGTTTTAAGGAGTTTAAAACAAAAGGTTTTGTCTTGCTGAGCTATTAAAAATCAAATTAATTTACAAAACAATTCTTCCCAGAAGGGAAAATCGGAAACTGCCTTGATAGAGACTCCTATTTAATGTTTTATAAATAAATGGCCGCATTAAATAACTTTATTTAAGCCTGCTGGTCAGCACCCGCTGTGCAGGTCATAAAATACACCCTAAATTGCCAATAAAATTTTAAATGAATTGCAAACAAAAAGCAAGGAAAAGGAGCCAAACAGAAAAAACAATTGTCGTCTATGCCCTGACCGTTGAAGATTTATGTGTTTGATCGTGAAATTTAATTGACTGAAAATATGGAAGAAAAAAGAGAACAAAAAACAAGGAGCGCTTCTATTTTATTCAATTTTAACGACTAAGGCTTTTGTGTATTTTGTACTTCGTATGCGTGTGCGTGTTTGTGTGTGTGGGTGTGTGTTATTTTCATGGTGCACAATTGCATGTGACCTTAGTTAACGCAGCACACCCTCGTACTCTCACACTCGCGGAAAATGTGAAAAACTTTCGCCAGTGGGTCTACCAGGCTTCCGTTGTTTTTCCGCCTCTTTGACCCTTTTCAAAAAGCTCAGTTCTGCGTTTAATACTTGTTTTTTCCATCAGAAAAAAAGGTTAGATAAAGGTGGTATGACTATGTTTTTAGTTAACATTTAAACATATTTGTTTCTTAAATATTTTAATATTATAGTTCATTCTTTTATAAAAATACTTAAAAGCTTAATTTGATAGGTTTGAAAAGCCTGGAAAGGAAAGTTAACTTTAATTTATTGAGCTCTGGCGAATTGTTTTATACATTTTGAATTACACCAAATGAGGCAACTATTTAAGTTAGTTTTGGTACAAATCTATTGACTATTAGACTGCCATATTAACTTTTATTAAGATGCATTTTTGAACAGCTTTTTAGAGTATTACTCAGCCGCATATTTAGCTAAAAACCTAGATCCTTTTGTTTTCCCAACCATCTTTTGTTTTTGCACACTTTGTCGCGTTGGGAAATGGACGCACCGCTGAGCGTGATTTCCGGGCAGTGGCCACTGGCCTCTGGAGTTTTCCCACAACAGTTTTCAACTGCAACCTGCGAAGGCTGAACATTTTCCCTGCATTTTTGTGGTCTCCTAACCATTGCTGCGTTTTTTTTTTTAACCAGTGTGATTGTGGTGGGGCAGGAATATCGATGGTTTTTACAGGACTGCAAAGGCTGATGTGAACAAGATTAATTTAAGAACCTTCAATTGTGTTAATTTTTGACATATTTATTTGTATAGTTGCGGTCGTGTAGTTGTGCTATTGTTTTTGGTCCACGCCGAGCATCAATTTTTCAACAATTAATTTATAAATATTTGTCCTTGCCGAAAAACATGACAAACGCCGAGCGGGCACAAATATTTGCATATCCCTCCTCCTCCTTTTTTTTTTGTTTGGTATGCAAAAAGTTAAACGTGCGATAAATAAAAACAAGGGAATTGTGTAACGTGTAAAGTAAGCAAACATTAAATAAAACAAATAAAAAATATTGGAAAAGAGAAACGATTTTAAGATACTTTTTAATGAGATTGGGTTTATAAAGAGTTTACAGACGAATTGGTTTGAAATTTTCAATTAAGAGAATTTATAAATCAATATTTTTAAATATTTATTGATAAGCATTTTAAAATTCCTATAAAGTTAGGAAAACTTCTGCTATACCCTGTATGAATTGTAATTTTCCCCTCCCATTGACTTGGAAATTTAATGAAATGAAAATACTTTGCCATATGCCATGAACTTGTATTTAGAATGATGCCAGCCACTGATGTTCAATTAATATGCATTGTTAACAGGTCAAAAAGGGCAAAAACAATGATTTAAACCTTTATGTTTTTTTTGCAAGGAATAAAATAATCAGCAAATATAAAATTCATTCCCGGTAATGCCTTTTAGATGATGATTTAATGAAATGCAAATAGCAAAACTCTTTAAATAATTGATTAACAAAAAGCTATGAGTTGTTTTCTAAACTTAAAATATAATTTAAGAGATCATTCGAACTAGAAATATTTTTTAGCATACCCCGTAGCAATGTTATGAAATCAATTTCCAAATTTAAAACCCATTTCATTTGCATTTTATCTCTAAAAGAGTTTCGTTTGAATTTTCACAAATATATTTATTTTTCTGTCACCTGCAAAAATGGCTGACAAGTATTATACTAGTTATTTGGTTATAATTATCATTGCTTTTGGTATAATTAATTCTGCTGCTTTCATATTTACGTAACGACTAATTTCCCTCTGTGATTATCCATTGGTAAACAACAATGGTGAATCATAAATAATTTATTAATGCATAATTGCAGGAAGAATTGTCCAGCAAATGGGCTGAATTGGCAACGGAAGTGTGCAGTGTCCTGTCCACAGAATTGCAAATGCCAGAGGATGAGCAGCCAATACCCTTCGATGCAGCATCCGAGAAATCCATCGATGATCAGCGGTGAGTTAGTAGTTGCTATTTCAGGTTTTTTTTTGTACCTTTCACCTCCCTGAAGAAACTATTACTAAACCATAGCCAGTTCGATTTCCAATCGTACAACGTGTTCTTATTATATTTCTTCGTCTTTCTCTACTTTCAGCGAGGATTGCATGATTCGCATAAATAAGCTGCTGCGTTCCGAGAAACTGGACCAGGCTGTTGCCCTTCTTCGAGCCGCCAGGTAAGCTTGAAAATGCCATTCCCTGGTCTCTGAACTTTGTTGTTAGGGTTTTGCCAGACGAAATCCCCCTTGGAAAATCCCCTTTTTAATAACTTGACATTGGCTGAGGAAAAGGTACGAAAGCAATTCGCATAATAAATTAACTCTAGTCAAAAACAGGGAAAAATCCGCTTGGTCCGTGTCCCTTTTTTCATGCAACTTTCTTGGCTTTTATATCGAATTTTATTTTCCTCCTGTTTATTTCTCATATTTTGTTGCCCTTTTGCTGCTCTCTGCTGCCCTTAAATTAAATAGTTTTTATTTATTGTTAAGGCAGAGCACGCTGGCAGCCCGGTAACTACAGATAATGGCAGTGCCCCGGAATTCCTTGTCCTTGCTCTCTTTTTTTCTCGTTCTTTATTTTGTCCACCGAGATAATACGAGTCCGTGGTGGTGATGGTGCCCTGCATTTCAGACAGACAATTTCTCGGTGCCTGGTTTTTTTGTCCCGGCCGCCTGCAATTTTTCAGTCAACAAACCACAGAGTTGGGTCAGGTGAGGAGGTGGCTGGATGACTGGTTGGTTGGATGGTTGGTTGAGGTGGAACCAGGTCAGGCGGAGCGCTCCCACTGGTGCTCCAGTAGATGTGCTTGCCTTTCAATTTAATTGCCCGCTCAATTATGTAAAGCCCATTGAAGACGCGCTCAAGAAATGTTTATTGTTTGCTCTGGGAAAATTGCGTGAAAATAATTTATCTTTTGCGCGTCAACATTTAAATAAGGCCAACACCACCGCCAGCAGAAGCAGAAGCACCAGCAGTACAGAAGCAAACCGAACCATTTGGCAGATGTCGTCGTAGTGTCAAAGGCTGGCTGTGCTGGGGAGCAATCGAAAACGTGGCTTAAATATTTCCAAGTCATTTAATTACAACCTCATTAAAATTTTCCACCTGCTGCCTGCCATGCCTGGCTCTGTTGGTTCTGTTTTTGGTCGGTATACCCATCTCAAAGGAATCCAATCGATGGCATCTGCAAATAGGAGAAGTCTGTGATGATGCTGGAGGCTCCATCTCCATTTCCATCTCTCTCTCTCTCTCTCTGTGCAAATTGATTGGATATATTGCCAGGAAAGTGTTGCCAGTGTTGATGATGGCTGGTGCCTCCGTTATATGCTTCCTCGAAATTTATGTACATTTTAATTGTTGCCAACGAAAATTGTTGCATTAAAATGTATACAATTTTTGCTGCTGCAGCAGCAGCGTAGCTTAAAAAGGTCTAGACACTTTTTGTGCTAATAAATTAAAATGCGATATGCATATAGAGCAGTCTCCAAGCTTGCACCCACTGTCACTACTCCGCCTCCGCCGCTGCATCCTCCCACGGACCACTTCCCCGGAACCCACTCCTTTGTCTGGCCATTGTCTGGAACTTTTTTGTGCCCCGTTGCCTAGCACTTTTTGTCCCGGGGTTATACTCACTTTAGTCTGAATACCCTAAAAAAAGAGTCTAGCTAATTGGTCTTTAGATTTGTATAGTAACATTGATTAGTAACAAAGAATAGGAATATGTGAAATCTAACTGAAAGATTCAACTTGTTTATGAGGTACACTTAGCTTAGTTTCTTTCAGCACGTTGTTTTCTTTTTGAACTTCAACTTAAAAACTTAAAATGTTTGTTTTTCCCGGTTTAAAAAGTAATTATTATAATCTTAGCTACATCAATATTCAGCAATTACAATAAATCATCTTTCAAAAACGTTTATTTTCTTAAATATAACAAAACGAAAGTGTATCTATCCTTATCATAACTCTTCCATGATAAATTCCCAGCTTGAGGGTATATTACCCACTTTATATGCCTCAATTTCATTTTCCCACTCTGCTGGCAATGAAAACGAACACTTTTGGGTAAGCAAAATATTGAAAATAAACTGGAGTTTCTGAGCACAACACACATTCGTGAATTTTATGTCTGGCCTGGCCATGTATGTAAGTGCATTGAGGATGATGAGTGCCCCGGGAGTGTGTGTGTGTGTGTGTGTCTGTCTGTCCAGAATTTTTAAATACTTGCCAAGTCACACTATTAGGAGTTTTTCATTTAAGTTGAGCGAGAAAGGGAGAAAATAAAATTGGTAGCGCGTTCTGTGTAGTTTTTTTTTCAGCTTGCTACTGCTGCTTTCTCCGGCGTTGGCTTAATGGGTACCCAGAAATATGTGCTTGGAAAAAAGTAAAACTTTTAAGTGAAGTAAATGCGCAAAATGTTTATTCAAACTTCACTTTGGCTGCAACTTTTAGCTCTCCCCCACTCAGGGATCACATCCTGCTGCCCTGCCCACTTTGGCCGCCTTTTAACTAAGCTTATTTAAGCGTCTGCTGATGCGCTTATTTAGCATAGCAACGGCAAGAGCTTGGCATTCGCCTTTTATTTCGTCTTTGCACATCTCTTGTTGATTTTGTTGACTGGAAATGTTTAGCATTTTCAGCTTTTAAGCTACCATTCGGTTCGCGTTTTCCACGACTGAACCCAATGTTCATTAGTGCTGGATAATAAATCATCTTTAAACCATAAAATCAGAAACTATATTGAAATTTATATATAAGCAGCTAATAAACTTTGAGTAAATATCTTTTAAAAATATTTATTTAATTTCAAATGCACTTTGGAAAATGAAAATGAATTTCTGGTTTCAAAAATGTTTGCATATAATTTGCATTTTAAGCACCTTAATGCAATTGCTCTGTCATCTATTTTTAATTGTCCATCAGAGAACATTTTTTATTCTAATAACGAAAATTAAATTTATTCGCTGAGCAGCGGAAAAAAATCGTTTCATTATGGCTTATTATAAATTTAATCACAAAATTTCTAATACAAAAAAGACTGAAATTTGAGCTAGTATAATCCAACATTGGAGGCCATAGCATATCGATTCATAATTAATCCAGTTTCATTCAATGTGATTAAAAATGTTTAGCCTAGCCTTGCTCTGACAAAATGTATACCACTTTTTCCATTGAAATAAATAGTTTATCTATCGCCCAGAACAATATTGAATATTATCGAACGAAAAAGCCAAAAAGCCCCAAACCGCCAGGCCGATGGTTTTCATAGATTTTTCATGGTCCATAATTAACCAATATTCGCCCCTGACCAGTTTAGTGGCATACTAAAAACCGCTAATTATCGCCATGCCGCATCGCTGTAAAAGTTGTACGCGTAAATATGTCGCATAACTTTTAAATGAGAGCAAACGCAAATTTTGTTGCAAACTGAAAAATGGTATCCCTTATGCCATGGTTGGTTGTTGCATCCTGGTATCCTGGTATCGTGGTAACTAACGAGCTCCGAAAATGAGACCCGCAGGATTACAAAAACACACACACATACACAGGGTATGCAGGGCAATGGGTTAGGGGGCAAAGAGGCGTGTCCATGGGCATGTCAGTCAATTTATTGGCTGGGCGACAGCGGGAAACATAAGTTGCACTATCGCCTACAAGCACGACCACAAATAAGCATAAATATGTCGCTTAGAGGGACTTGCCCCATATTCCTTCCTGACTTCCTGCCTGGCTTGCCACTGATATGGCCAAGAACATCGCGCTTTCAACTGGCACAGCGGGCAAGGCCGTTCGATAACACTGCAACATAAATATTGGAACTTTTTCTATAAAAACTTTAAGAAGAGCTTAATAAAAATGTAAAAAATTTTAAAAACTTTTATATTTGATTTATTTTAAAACTCATTTTATCTGATTTTTATCTTCAATATTATTTATGCATTTTTAAAAGTAAAAGTTATTAAAAGGTATCTGTTTTTATCCATAGGTAATAATAGCATTAGTTCCCAGCATGCTATCTATCTCTCTTTCTACTGTTTGGCTCCATCTCTTTCTCGTCATGTTTTTGCTGTGCGTTGCATATTAAGCTGCTTTCAAATATTAAATTAACAGCGGCAACGTTGCGAAAAGCCTGCAACGTTGCATCATCAGAGCAATGGGGATTATATATTGTATATGTGGGGCCCCAAAGGGAAAGAAAGAAAACAGGACACACACACACACTTTCACACAGGCACACACACACAACATGTGCAATGTTGGCCAAGAAGAACGGTTGTTGCATCCTGACGCAATTTTAAACGCATCAATTTCAGTTTGCCATGGCTAAAAGCGCTTGTTATTTCAGCATATTTTTCTTTTATTTTTACCAACTCTATGTGGATGATAATAACGATTTCTGTGGGGCCTATTGTAAAAAGTTATGCTTGTTCAATTCTGTGGGATATTTTCACCTAAATCGAACGAATGTTTATTAAGCTGGCAGCTCTGCAAGTATTAGCTTTTGACAGTCAGTTTGCTAGTTTCCAAAATGGTAAATAAATTGCCAAATTTTGCATTTACATGGAGTTTGATTCGCTTGATTATGGTCTGGCTCAATAAATCAAACAACTGAACAACTACTAATCACGGCCAAAACAAAGCGAATGAATTGGAAGCCCTATAATACCATGCAATCAAAATCTTGCTAACTTTGCTATTCATTAGAAGTGAGGGAGAACCTTTATGTGTAACATTTCAGACAGCTCAACATTTGGTTTTCTATTCAATGAATAATTTAAAAATTAAAGTTTTCCTCTTTTCTAATTTGTTATTCAACGAAGTGAAGATTTTATTTCTATTTATAAAAATATTGTTTAAAATTACATTTAAAAAGAGAGTTTCTAATTATTGAAGCAAATTACAAACTCATTTTGTTGGAAAATTATTGGAAGCAATTAAGCATTTTGTTTGTTAATTTAATCTAAAAATCTTCTAAAATAAAATCCAAGCAAAGTTACATTTGTAATACATATTTTTAATTGAGGCAAAGTAATTAGTTTAACAAATATTTTAGCTACCTCTAGAGTAACCTGATAACTTTTATTTTATATTTAGTCAAGCCAAGGTAAAGACACATCCTGGTTGATAATTCAATTTCCTCTCTACCTCTGTGTTGTTTAACTTTAATTCAATGTATATATATATATATATATTGTGCTGCTTTTGTTCTAACGCATCCATTTATTTTATATTCCACAGGGAAGTTTGGCCGGAGAACGAAGTGTTCGGTGCAATTTCCGCTGCACCGGAAGACGAGCTGCTGCTGCTGCGTGAGATTTTCATGTCCAACATTACAACAGGTGAGTGGAATAACACAAATGTGCAAGGGAAAGAGCGAGAGAGAGAGAGTGAAAAAATAGTGGCCAAGGTGCGGTGAAAAACAGGTGAAAAAACAGGACAAACCGGCATTTTAATTATTGTTTATTACTATGCATTATGGAAGAGCGTGCTGGCAAAAGCTTCGCCTGACCGTTGTTTTAATTAAAAATGAAAATCTGCCACTTGGCTTTTGCGTGTCATTTATCTTGCGCTGTCTGTTGCTGCCTCATCCTGCGTCCAGTGTCCTGCACGCTCTTCGTCCTGGTTCATTTCTGGGCAGTTTGGGGCCACTTCCGGTGCAGCATTTTGCATCTCCACTCTATAAATTTGCTAGCTGAAATAAGCCAAATTATAGCGTAACTTTCAGTTCTTTCTGTCGGTGTGTGTGTGTGTGTGTGCCTGTCTGTATGTCCTTGTTGCATTGTCTAAGTTTTTGCACAGGCCCCGTTTGGCTTTTTGCCTTCTGGCCAAGAAGCCCCGTCCTTCGGGCCGCCAAAGTTCGCTTAACAAATTATCCAACAGAAATTCTTGCGCTTCATTAAAAGTAAAAAATGAGGCAGCAAAGGACGAAGCATTTCCACTCCCTTTATTTCCCTGATCCCTAGACTTTCCTCGCTGCTTTTCTGGCAGCTCTCTCTCTTTTTGCCTTCTCGGACTAAATGAAAATATATTAAACGCGTAATTGTTTTATTTTATATATTTTTTTTTCTACTCCCTGTTTTCCCATCCTGCCAAGTGCATTGGTTTGTGAAATTCCTGTTGTTTGTATTCGTTCAATTTGAAAGTCAGCGAAGCGTTGACAATTCGCTGCCCATATTTTGTTCCTCCTTCCTTCTCCTAGGAAATTTTGTTTATATTTTTGACATGACTTTTCAATTTTCCCTTTAGAGCACCTGAAATGCAAAAGACCACGCGATTTTGTTTAGACATGGCTTTTCGGTTATTGACAAGCCATTCATCCATATGTTGCATCTTTGGGTTTATTCCTTTCACATACATCTATACGTATATAGTATCTTATCGCCTCAGTGCAGTTCCCTGATTCTCGCAGAATTTGAAAGCTGCTGTGGCAGGGAAAACTTTTTGACAAGCGCTTTAAAAACGCATCCATGGCTGACAATTTTCTTCGTTTTTTTTTGTATCTTTTAATGAAACATATATACTATATATATATACAATACAAGGACACCAAAGATGTCGCTGCCAACGGAAAAGTTTTCAACTTTGGCTGCGCCGTGCAGTTAATCGAGATTTTTGTGTGCGAAAATTTATGATTTCCGCCGCGGTAGCAAAACTTATATCAAGAGTTTTTGTATTCAGTATACTATATCAGGGGTTTGGTATTTAAACAAAGAGTTACGAGTGTGCTGAACTACTTATTTTAGAAAGTTTTTTTCAATCTCTTATAAAGTTTAAGACTTTAAATATAGTTGGGGCTCAGTTTTAAAGTTGATCTGCAATATTGAGGTTAAGATAGGGGGCCAAAATTCTGCTTTAACACATTTAAATTTTAATATTCATATTATAGAAAGGTTAAGTATGCTTTAGGAACAGAAAGTATTTATTTTTAATTTTTTAGTTTTTTTATTTTAATTTTAAATTAAAAGGTTTTTTGTCTGTTTTTATGAGCAAAACAATATTTTTCCCTTTACTCTCAAAATTTAAATTTTGTGTGTTTTTATATATTATTTCTGGCATTTCAAGCTCATCTAATATAAATAGAATAAATAATACTGATCGTTATATTTTAGTTTTCCTAGTGTAGGAAAGCAATTTCCCTTGCAAAGTTTCAATGCTCCCGGAATCTCTTTGTGTGGTAAATTTAATTAAATTTCAATTTAAAGTAGCATACCCATATTCCCTTACAAATGGATTGAACAATGGCTGGACAATGCCCCTTTTGGACGAAAGGGTGTGGCTATATGTGTGTGTGTGTGCGTGGGCGAGGTGCGCATCCTTTTACTGTTTTGGACCGTGTCTGTGCCTGGGAGCGTCTGCAATCCGTCCATGAGTCCACATGAAAGAGTCCTCCGTTGGCGTTCAAACGCAGCGCTTAAAGCCAAAGCATTTGAAACCCTCTTTTATGTCTGCGTCATCGGTTTTCCTATTTTTTACCCTATCGATGGGGTTGAGCTCGTTAAGCTCCCGGACAAAAGCGTGACCCGTTCTAATAGCGACCATGGGATTTGATGGCCAGCTTAACGCCCGCCGGCCGTCAATAGATTGATGTTCAGTTGACAGTTTTGCCAACCGGCTGCAACAATATGCAATTTACCAAAGGGCATAACAAAAAAAAATTCGAGCTTCTTTTTGCACCCGCAAAATTTATATAAAATGCTGATGCTAATGCCCGGGCCATAAAAACCGAATCAGTCCCCAAAGTGGCCATTGAACAGGACTCACTTTTTGCCCTCGAACGTTTTATTAATTACCGGCAACCGCAAACTTCATGTAGTACGCTCCCTGCCTGTGGTTTGGCTTTAATTAATAATTTTTTTACGGTGAATACCCTTGGAATGGAGGTATATTGGTCGAGGAAGAAAAATGATCAAATCCAGGATGACATCTAAAATATTTTGAGTTTACAAATTCTCTATTAAGTTCCATGTAAACTACTTTCTGATCATTAGGATGTATATTTTTCCTTTAAACTTAAGTTTTATCTTCATTTTAAAGATCTTTTCATTTATTTACAATATTTATTACATATTTACCCAACCAATTTAGGTATAATTGAGTTGAATCAAAGTTTATCCGTCTCATTTAATTATTACACTTCATATTAAATTGGCTTTGTGGAAAGACACCCATGGCCAGTGGGCAAGGCAAACAGCAAGTGCATTGACACTTTGCATAATTTATAACACTTGTCTGCGTGTGTGTGTTTGTGTGTGTGCCCTCGTACCCCTGCATATCCTTGTTTCAATTTCAAATTGAAATGTAAACTTAATTCCAAAAGGAAAAAGGAAAGCGCTAGCAGCAGGACAGGAGGTGTGAGATTGCTGCATGCGAGCGAGTCTGTTTGCTTAGTTAAATCTTAATCAAGTTGCTTCGTTGATTTCGATTTGTGGCGCGCATAATAAATGAGGAGTCCTTTGTCCCGTCGCCGCTTCCGGTTTTCCCCTGATTTTCCCTCAGAAAATGCCAAATCAACGCCCAGGACTTGGTACAAAAATAACACAAAAATCCACTCAAGTGTTAAAACAAGAATAACAACACCAACAACAACAGCAGCCAGCGCTAACGGGGACAGTGAATATATTTCTCTGTGTATATATATGTGAGTATTATTTCAAGTCCTGGCAAGTCTGTGCGCCAAGTCCTTAACTGATTTCCCAGCGCAAACAAGTTGGTCTCTCCAGTTGTCGTTGTTTTGGTCCTGAATCCTCAGTTCCGTGTTCTGTGTCCTGTGTCCCCTGTCTTCGTGTTGTCCCCACTCTTTGTCTCGCATAAAAATACAAAGTTTATGTTATGAACACAAATAAAAACAAAAGCACACAACAAAGCTCGCCCAAGAACAACAGAAAGTGCGCAAAAAAATACGAGCCAGGAAAAGGAATAAAATACAATAAAATGAAATAAAATATCCACAACACCACACACAGCAAGAACAGAGTCATTTGGACAGAACTGAAATCTACACACAGAATAAAATTGGTAACGGAAATCAGTTTTTTTATAAAGTAGAAAAACTAGTTGTGATTTAATAGTTAAATTTTGGCGATGGAAAGATCTTAGATGAAATATTAATAATTTGTGATTTATGTATTTCTTTCATTGCTGCTTCAATTTTCTGTGTTAAATCTTTTGTATAATTCTTGATTGGTTCTTTTATGGTTACCGTTAAGGTACTTGTATTTTCTCTCTGTGTAAGACTCCCAGCCCCTTTTAGCAGTATATTTGCAAGTTGACGTGTCGTGTCTGCTGTCCCCGTTTTCCAAATCCACTGCCACAAAGAGTGCGATACCAGACGTCAACCACAACACCCATCAGCACACACATCGGGCACATATACTCGTATGTATAGTACAGACTAGTGTAGTGAAGTGAACCTAGAGTACCGGGAGATCTGTGGATGCGGTTGGTCCGGTGATGACACTTACTCAATTAGGTGACTTTTCTCGACACTGATTTGCCTTTCTGCTGGCCATTTTTATTGTCTCGTAACTTTCTGCTCGAGAGCCATCTCATTCGTTTACCTTCATTAGCTTAGTCATCTCTTTCATCATACTGATTTCGTTTTTTAGTTTTTCACTTAAGCAAATAAATTCAATAATGTTTTAGGAAAAGAATGAGAATAGATACTTCTTTATTTATTATTTCTATTTTTGATTTTGTTACTGTAATGAAGTTTGTTTATTATTATCTTTGAAAAAGTGCAACAAAATACAGGTGAAACATATATTTATTTAAAGAATTAACATTATTGAACTGCATAAAAATTTTAAAACTGAAATAGGAGAAATCTTTTTTGTGTCCCTCAAATGCAGAATGAGATTAAATTTACCTGAGTTTACATTACCCATGTTCGTTTAGCCTCTGTTTTTTTTTTTTTTTCATTTGTCCATTCGTCTCGAATTTTTTCTACTATCCATAAATAAAAACACACACAAACCACACCTGTGCTCTCACTTTCCTCTTGGGATTTTCGGGCCTTGCCACAGTTGGCGGCAATGACATTCAAAATATGTAATGTGAAAAAGTAACCGAAAAATTACAACTTTAAATTGAAAAAACAAAAAACAGCTCACAGACTTTAGAATGCTGTTTAAAAAAAAAAAACCGAAAAAATGTGGAAAAACTCGTGTGCGGAATTTTACCTCTGGTAAACATAAAACGTTGCATACTTTTGGGACACTAGTTCGCAACTGGGCGACAATAAAAACCAAGCAAAGCGGAGAGACCCCATAGATGAGTGCTTGGGCAGGGGAATATAAAGGGGTGAGGCGTGTGGCAAAAGTCATAACGAGTGCAAAACCATGAAATGAAATCGTTACCGACACCACCCACCCACACACCTGATTTGCAAGGAACATGCCTCTATATTGGTATACCCTTATCAAACGCTGACGCTGACATATACGGAATTTGGTTTGTCCTTGTTTGAGCTTATAGATCTAACCACAAAATGGCATTATATTTAATACCATCAATGTCAACATATTTAGCCATACTATTTATAAAATTTAATATTAATTCGTAATAGATTTTTAAAAAACGAATTACGTTTAAACCTAACACAGAAGTTCTTAACAACTTGAAATAATTAAAACAAATATTTTCATAATAATTCTTTTATATTTATGTACATTTACTTATTTATTTTCCTAATATATAATAATAATAAAATATACATTTCATTAAATAATTAAAAGAAGAATTCGCTAAAATAAACAACTTTGCCCAAAGATATAGTTTATTCTACTAATTGGAATAAAAAATATCTCTGGACAAAGATTAAATCCATTTAAAGCTGAAGTCCATAAATATTTTTGTAAAGATGAAAACTGAATTTTTTTACAGTCAAATTAATAGGATTGTAGACATCCAGTAACGTTGAAAATACCCACAGCAAGCGTATAAAAACTGTGGGTTTATTGTATAATGCGAACTCGCAGTTTTTATTTTTTTTTTTACATTCGACATTTGTGGGTGTGACGGGGTGTGCGGCGTAGTGCTGGATGTCCTGGGAGTGTCACACATGGATGCGACACTCCCAGGACTCCCTGCTCCTGGCTCCCACTTCTCTGCACGCACTTGGGCGGATGATGTTTGGGGCGGTTCTGGTGTCTGAAATTAAGCAATGTGTCCCTAGAGTGCACTACGCTGCGTATACGTAATGTGGCCGTGCTTTTTGGCGGCGTTGCATTAAAAATGAATGCAATTTAAAGTTGCCAGTGTGCCACCCCCTCAGTGTATGGCTATCTGCGTATGTGTTTCTTTTTTTTGTTCCCCCCCAGGTCCCAAAGCACATCAAGAACCCGCAGAATTTTTTGCATATTTATATATAAAAAGCGAAAGGAAAAAAACACGTTAGTTTGGTGGCTTCCGTTTCTTTTTTCCGGCATGAGTGACGCTAATGGAGCACCATTTGGCTGCACTGCTCCGAAAATCAATTAGATAAAGTTTTCCCTCAGCTGTGCACTTTCAAACATAAACCGAAAAAAAAAAAGAAAAAAGTAAGGAACACTCTTGCTCACAAACAAAGTCAAACATTGTTCATTCCAGTTTGGGCAGCCGCTGCAGTAAATTGCTTAAAAATTAACAGTTCAATGGTTGCCCGGGCAATTATTCCATTGCCCTGCACTTCACATCTCAGAGTTTTTCTCGTCCTCTTCAGCTGCTCTTACTCATTAGGGGGGAAAATGGAGATCATTTTAAAGTGGCCTTGCAGTGAGAGAAAATTATGGAAAATATACCAGATTCCTGTTTATCCTTATTATTATTCCTTTTATACGGACTTTTTGAAAATAATTAACAAAAGTAAGCTTTACAAGTTTTTTTAATCTTTAATTAAATAATTAAAATGTATTATCAATTTGTTTATTTTAAAAGTTCATGTAAGTCCTCAGCTGTTCTCAACAGAAATTGTTTCTGTGTGGTCGGAAAGTATTTTCCGGGCTTTTCCATCTCGCGTTTTGCCGCACTGTTCAGTGCTTATTTGGGTTAATCAGAGATAATGTCCTTCTGGCCTAGACTTTGTGTGGATGGCTTTGCCATCAGTCAAATGCCAACTGCATTAACTGCTGACAGGGGCACTTATGAACCAGCAAACCAGCAAAAAGAGTGGATTGGGTAGAATTTATCATAGCCACTCTCTCACCTTTTGCACCCATCAAAATGTGAAGCAAAAGAAAAAAAAAAGAGGTTGATTCGAAGTGGCATTTGCTCATCAAACTGTCGCCGCATGTCACAAATTTCGTTATATTTTTATTATTCTACCATTAACCTTTTTATTGAGCACGCATTTCGAACCTCCGACCGCATGAAGGAATTTTGACGATATTGAATGTCGGCTGTTTGTCCCGATGCAATATTGAATATTTAATTCCCGCCCATACGAATGAATGTCCAAGGGCGCATAACAATTTCTTGACATGTGCGTCGAGTTCCCCAATGTGGCGACAGTTTTTCCTCTTTTTCTCTACCATTTTCCCCCGCTTCTCCACCGATGCTAACGACATTTATATCGAAAGAAACAAAAACGCCACAAGAGGGCAAAGGAACAAAAAAAAAAAAAATGAAAACAGAAGGAAAAAACAACAAAAAAAACAAGAAAAACCAATTGACTTTCATTTTGTCAGCCATTTTCACAGCGTCGTTTGTCCACCAATACATATGTATAAACGAGGACCTACTAACACAAACAAACTCACACAACACACGTATTCATGTACATGTGAACGCTTCCTGTTGCTGAACGCAATCATCTGATTGCAGTTTCGATGTGAAATAATTGGATTTGAAATAAAAATGTTCCCCGTTTTGTTTGGGTCCCGACCATCTACTGACTCCCCCGTTGGGTGGGAAATTCCCAGGGTTTTCTCTGGGGTGTGTGTATATTGGCATAATTTAGCCGTGGCTTCATTCACATTTACGTCCGGCTTAACTGGCGCATGTGTCACTAATTTAACGATTATTTTTATTGACCAGTTGGCATGGTTTGAACTTCATTTTTAATATAGGTTGACATCTTTAATCTTGCAGATACACATTTTGAGATAGTTGAAGGATAAGTTCTGGTGTTGAGTTAAACTGATTTAAATTGTACAATTTTCCAGTAAAAACTTTAAAACACCAATCATTGTTCTTCATCAGAAATGAAATAATAATGATCAAGTAGAATGCATTTCCATTGAATGAAAGACATAATTAATTAAGTGAAGCGGTAACCGTCGGATTTTATTTCATTATTGAAATAATAAGCGAAAATAAAAGTCGTATTAAAGTTTGCCTCCGATTGTTTTCCATATTGGGTCGTTTAAAGTCCGTAAAATATCCGTGAAAATGAAATATTATTGACTCGCCTTCATCCTTCTTCGATTTCACTCAGATTTTCGTTGTCTTTCCTTTCACTTAATTGATATTCTCTTTCGTTGCACAACAATGGCCGTCTTTTTGTTCCATCCTGCCATTAAAATATATGTTAACTTAATCCAACCGACCGAATGAAAATGCCAGCGATGCCGCTGTGATTTTATACTCTTTCAAATTAAATTTCTCAATTTTATTATTTTCACATTTTTTTCAGTTTTGGTTTTTGGTTTTTGGCTTGCATTAAAATTGTGTTGGTTTTTCAAGAAGGTTTCATAAAATGTTTGCCATGTTATTTTTACACTTTTAATTGCTATCCATATTTGCTAAGTCAATAATACATTTCACTTAACCTTAGTGTTATTTTTAATCTTCATACATGTATTCTTTAGTTTGTTTTATCAACCCTTTACGCTACGATTTTGGCAGCACTAAATCTAACATTAATATATATGTATATATATCTATATATATGGAACTTCTCCTCCTCCGCCAGATATTTTCCCTTCTTTGAATATTCTGTGTTTGTTTGCTGGATTTGCCCCGGTGTTTTTCTATATATTTTCACATTTTGGTTTTAGGTTGTCTATTTACAAATACACATGGAAAATTATGCTGCAACTATTGTTTGCCTTTACTTATTGGGGTTTCTGCAATACGCATCTGTTTCTGAGAGCTCTCGATTTTGTGTTGTTTAATTAAAATGCTGCGCGTCATTTTGGCTTAACTAAATATTTGCTGTGTTTTTGTAAATAGAAGTATTTGTTTATTAATTATTTGCTCGGCTTTACGCTAGAATGTATCTCCTTTTTTTTGTCATTTCTTTGTTACTATATATATATATTTTATATATATGCATTTGTAACCGTAAATATAAAGGTTTTAATGGCTAACGTTGCTACAAACTGTACGTCAAATATTTGGCAATTAGGTTTTGTTGTTATTGTGGGTTTTTTATCGCATTTTACTTTGATTCTCGACAAATTAAATGCAAATATTAACGTTACTCGAATTGTGTTTTTCCCTTTCTGGCTCTGTCGTTTTTGTTCTATTTTAACTATTTTTAATCCTTTGGTTTTTTGTTTTGTTTTCTTGGTAAATTTTAAATACATATTCTATGTGGAAAGTGTACATGCAATATTCGGAATTGAAATGTTAGTTCAAGTAAACTTCACTACAAGTAAATGTTAATAACTATAATTTACAGTTTGACGTTTCAATGTACAGCGCAATTAAGTTTAATTATTGTTTGCTATCCATACGGTCGGTCGAGATGTTTATTTCGAGTTCAGTTTGCCTTTTTTGCCCTTCCCTTCCCTTATTTTCAACCGACAACTTTTGCAAGTTCTGACCAATTATGAACGTTATTTACGATCCCAAAACAACCGCCAACTGCCAACGGCCAATGGCCAAAACAAAAGGCAACTTATTTTCACATAATTTTCTAAATCGCCCCCATTTACGGCCCCGAAATGTCGTCCAAAAAGCCATTTAGCAGGCAAATAATTACGTTCTGGCCCGGACCAACTTTATTAACTGCGCAGGGAGACAAGAGTCGTCCTGGGTTAGGTCGATCTGGTAACCATCACATACCGAGATTGTGTGGAATGCGAGCTCCGAAAGTGTCAAATATCGAATTAACTCATTTCACTTGGCTCGTTCTGGCTGGAAAACTTCCTAAATCTTGGCCAGCTGGCCAGTGTCATAAGCAAAAAGTCCAAAATAAAAAAAAAAAAAATAACGAAAAGGAAAGGAAACCTTCATTAAATTTGACAATGCTCCAGGACTAAATCTAAGTCTGGGTCACTCTTCCGTAGGGTTTCTTTTGTAGGCGAATTTTGTGCTGTGCTGGCACTGCCGACGACAAATAAAAAGGTTTCGTCCTGCGAAACTCTCAAAAAATTCCCCCACACACTCGCACAGACTCTCTGTGCTGTTCGACACTTGCCCACTTGGAAGTTCCTTAATTAAGATTTTGTGCGTCCTGGCATCATCGGACGCCACTCGACTGGACCAAAAAGGACTCCCCGCCAGCTTACACTCTCGTCCTTTGCTATAATAATCCCACCCACTGTGGCGCGGGCTGTTGGTCAGCATTACTTTAATTGTTGTTCAGAGCGCTTTGTCGGGCATTTCGCTTTTGTGGCCGAAAATAAATCCTTCTGAATTGCTTAAGCGGACTCTGCTTGAACGCCCACCGACCTCCTTTCCAACTAAGTTTTATCAATCAGCACTAGGAGAAAATTAGTTAGAGATGTTGCGACTTTGAAGTGGTTGATTAATTTCTATAACCAGCTTTTTCGCATAAAAAATCTTTGAATATCTTTAAAAATATCACCTAAAAATCTCTACTAATATGACATTTTGGAAGTCTAGGTCTCAGATAAAAACATGTTTGACTAAATCCCTGCCAAAGGATTTTTTAACCATATTTATAAGTCCAGAACTCCTAATTATTTTTCTGAGTGCCTTCTAACTCGAATCGAGCTCTGTGTGTATTTCACTTTCTCCAACTGTTTCCTGTTGCTGTCGCTTGTGTGCACGCGCCTTCTTCTTGTATTCCAATTACAAAGCCACAAAAAGTTGAAAAAGCTGTGCAATGACTGTGGTTCGTTCTTTGGAGCGAGAAAGTGGAGGTGGTTCCATCTTCCTTGCAGAGTTCTGTTCAGACGTAGTTTGGTTTTAGCTCAGTGGTTGGAGTCGCAAGATTGTTGCACAACTTTTTATCGTGTCTTAATGTAATTGTTGTGTTCCATGTCCCCTTGGCCATTCCTCTAACCATTTTGCCCACCCTCGGTCCAAACCCAGCCGCGTGTCTTGTAATTTGATTTGCTGCCACATTATTTTGATGTCCGTTAGATACATGTATCTTTTGTACACATAGCCCCCAAATAGTTTTACAACATTTCACTTTCGGCGTGGCGGATTAGATGTCTGGCCATTTGGCTGGATTTACACCATATGTTGTGTTGGTCAATTTGTAAAATGAGGTTAAGTGCGGGTTGATTCTGAAGGAGGGTGTTTTTTTGTGCCGTTCTTACCCATTTCCAAATGGGGTGAAGATGCCAATGCTAGATGCCGGAGCAGATAGCAAACACTTCTAACACTCAAAAGGGTGGGTGGTGATAGTCCAAGTCGGACGAAGGCGAAACTTTAATTAGATTGCAATTTAAACTCGGGAATCTGAAGCAGCTGGTAAAGTAGGTTAAGATCATGCCAGGAGGACTTAAAGGGTAATCAAAAATAAGTAGAAAAATGCTTGAAAGTTGGTTATTTGAGAGGTAAGTAAGTTCCCTGATATATAACATAGGAATGGACTCTGCTATGACTACTCCCAATACCATATCACACATAATTACCTATTTGGATGAAATTATATATCCCTCTGCTCCGAGTCAACTACCATATTAAATTTACTCTCGTTTTATACGCCATCCTCAGCATCTGCTGCCTTCAACTTCTGATTACTGAATTGGCGCTGTCATAAACTAAATTGTTATTTAATACTTGATCGATATTTCATTTTTATATGCATGACTATCAAAACACTTAATCTTGGCAAACGGACAGGCACTTATATAAAGTTAACTGGGCCGCACACGGTGCTCCTGGTCTTCGACTTGGTCTCTTGGCCAGTAAACTGACCCAAATACGACCACAAGATGGACATCGTCTTTGGATAGCTCGTAAAAACTTTGCTGGCGTTGGCTATTTGGTATTTGGCGATTTGGCTTGGCCGCATGTCTACGCTCTTCGCCCCTTTTTCCGCCCGGTTACATGCGGCGTATACGTAACAGGAATTTATGACAAATTGTTGCTGCTAACCGAATCGCTAAGAGGCTTGCAACGTGTGGGCACTGAGGCGTCATAAATCAAGCCGGTAGCCAACTCAAAATATTATATATAGCTGCTGGCATTTATGCTTTACTTTGGCAGTCGTATTCCCTGTTATTTTCTCTTGGAAGTTATATTTTTAGCCTTTTTGACCTTTGTGATTATCGTTTTAAAAATAGAAATAGGAAGAAAATTATCCATCTTAGAAGATTCCTGTACTGATTGATATATTAAGTGTCTGCGTTTTCTGGATTTAATAATCCATTAGGCATTTCCTAAGTAATCATCCCTACTGTTATGAAAATAACCTAAAATGCTTAAGAAAACAAAACAACTTAAAAGAAAATATTAATATTTGCCTTTAGTCTTAGCTTTAGTTGGCAGCTGACGATTGTCGTTTAAACTCTTTTCATTCTTACACATTTTTACTCTACTGAAAGGGCGCATATTGTCTCTGGCCAAAGACGGTTTGTCACCAGATTCCCAACCTCCTTGAACTTGGAGCCATTAGTCTGCTGCTTAACAGACTTGATGGCTGTCGCTGAAGAAGGTACCGCTGCTGTCGTTCCGCCCAGATCGGTGGCAGCCACTCGATCTGTTCGGCTTCCTAGGCCATTACTCCTGCTGCCCAACAGTTCCATGGGTAAACTAGGCAGGTTGGCGGATGGTGGATTACTGGGAGCCATCTCTATGTAGTAGCTATCATCTCTACTGGGAGAATGCAGGCTACTGCGGCTGCTTCCCGATGAGGAAGACGAGGAGGCAGTGGAGGAGCTCTTGTCCGCCAGAGATGAGCTGTAGAATTGCTGGCAACGTTGCTGTTGCAACTCGCGAGCTTGCAAATTGTGAAGTGGAGAACTATAAGGAGCTTCTCTCCGAGTGCTATGGTGCCACTTTTGTAAACGGGCGGGATCTCCTCCATTGGAATTTACAGATCCTTGATAGTGCAGAAAACTATGGGCATCATCGGTGTCGTTTAGATGCCTTTGATGATGCGGGCGCATTTGTCCAGGTCGATTGCTTCTCTGCCAGGGCAATTCACAGCGATAGACATGAGCCAATCCTGCTAGCAATACGATAAATAATACGCAGGCTACCAGCAACATTACTCCAGGATGATTTCCTGTAAGATTGTGAAGGTTTTCCTCTCGCTGGTCCATTAAATGTTCTGGTTTCGATTCGCTTTTTAGTTCCACATAGGCCTTTAGCTGGGCGAAAGTACTGAGTTCCTCCGGCGAAGCCTCTTTGGGTGTGTTGACACTGCTGTGTTGGTGCTGGGGTGTTTTGGAGGTGGCTTGTAGTTCCTCAACGGCTTTTACTGCATGTTTGGTACTGTAGGTCATCTTCTTGATACTCAGCGATGGCTTCTTTTTGTGACTTTTTGGTGGCGACGACGACGACGACGACGACTTTGAGTCGCCATTTATGGCTTCCGCTTGTCGCTTATCAGCCGCTGACTGGTGCTTTTCCTGCTCCGCCGACTGATGTTGTTGTTGGCTCAAGTCCAAGACTTCCGAATCCGCATCCGCCACGGTTGCCGTTCCAGGGAGCAACAACTGCTCGGCATCCACCAAAAGGACATCGCCCTTGTGCATCAGAAGCGGTGTGCCAATTAGATGTCGATCCTTAACGTGCAGCTGCAATGTTGCATGTTTGTGTGACTGTGTTGCTGCTGCTGCTGCTGATGCTGCTGCTTGACCGGATGTGTCCCTTGTTGGGTATTTTAATAAAGTCTCGTGTGCCTTATCGGTTGGCATTTTGTCAGATTTTTTTCCGGCCAAAATTGTTTGTGGCACTTCAATTGCTGGTGGTGTTGCCACCATTTCTGTTGCTGTTTTTGTGGCACCGCTAATGTTCGTTGGCTTGTTGGAATTTATTGCTGTTGCTGCTGTTGTTGTTGTTGTTGTTGCTGCAGCTGCTGGTGTTGTTGCTGCTGCTGGGGCTGCCAAAATGGGAACCGCTGTTGTTGCCTTTGTCTGGGCCAAACTTGGCAGGTTCTTTGCTGGCGTGGCTGTTGTTTTGGCCGGCATGCCAGGCATTTGTTGCCGCTGCTGTAGTTGCTCTAACGAAGTTGTTTCTGTTGGCCGCAAAGTTTTTGTGGTTAACTGGGCAACGCTGTTGCCAGCTGATTGCATTGCTGTTGGTGAAGTTGGTGTTGCTGTTGGAATTGCTGCTTTTTCCGCTGATGTTGCTCCTGTAGTTGGCTGAGTTGCTGCTGACGTTGCCTGTGTGTCGTCTGTTGTATGTGCTGGTTTTTCTGATGTTGCCACTGCTGCTGCTGCTGCTGTCGTGTCTGCTCCTTTTGACTTTTTAACTTTTGACATAGTTCTCGACGTTGTTGTTAATGTTGCTGTGGCACTTGTTCGGCTGCAAGAAGGCGGCTTTGTGTCATTTTCCGGTTTCCTGGCTCCACACTCTCGGCTACTGAAGTTGTCGTAAAAATTGTGAAACTGCAGATACTCCGTCTTGAGGTCCACCCACCCACTTGGACTTCTACCACTCGACTGACCCACATCCACTGACCTGCAAGGACTGGCCCACTCGGCAATGCCCAGCAAATCGCTGCATTTTATGGGATTGTCCTCCAGTAAAAGATCCCTCAACTGGGGCAATGTGTGCACTATCGATTGGCTGACACTCTCTACACCTGAAGATTGCAGATTTAGGGTAAGCAATTTGGGCAGTGCAAGAGCGGGTAGAAAGATCAAACGATTGTGGGACAAGTCCAGGGTCTGCAGGTTGACCAGGCCAACGAAAGTCTGAGGTGGCAGTTCCATTATCTGGTTGTGCTGTAGAAATAGGTGTTCCAGTGATGGTGGTAGACTGTTTGGCACTCGCATTAGAAGATTGTGGTCCAAGAAAAGAGATTCAAGGAGCTCCAAACGTCCCAGGGCATCGTCTTCCACTTGGGCAATCCGGGAGTGAGAGATCAAGGTACTGCAGCAGGGGATAGCTGTCCATGTCGCCGCAGTTGATGGCCTGAAAATTAAAAGGAGATTTTATTTAGTCAGTAGGGGTCATCGATCCTTATATATTCTTTTCTTATTCTGTTGGTTTTTTAATATATTAAATCTTTCATAAATTCTATTAAAAACTTTAAAAAAGCCAAACTTTTATGATTTAATCCGCGTCTAGCCAGTGTCTTTGCGAGCACTCAAGAAGTTATTGTTCGTAGGCGAAAGTCTGGGGAAATTTGATTAGTGGCTTACAAAGAGGGAAAGTGCGAGATGCATGGCCCCAATGCGACATTGTTTAAAAATTAACTTAAATCTGCCATTATAATTACTTCAAAGGACTCGTCAGCGAACTTGCCCCTTTTTGCAATCCCAGCGATGCCTGCCCGGAGCGATGCTCGTCTGGCACCAAAGTAAACATAGACGCGACTCGTTAAATGAAACGAGTGCGCCAGGCAACCAGGCAACCAGGAAGCCAGACAGCCTGCCGTCGTCTCTGTCCTGGGGCCAACCAAAAGAAATGAAAGTATGATAGTCCAGGGTTGAGTAGAAGAAGGTGGTTTTCTGGGCTCTCTGGATGGGTAACCAACGGCCCCTAAACGCCATAATTTGCCATGAAAAGGCTGCGTGTTGACTGCCGATAAAGGCAGTGGCAAAAGGCAGTCGGCCTGGCCCGGCGAACAAATTAAAATGGCTTGGCAACAAAGGCACCCGGGAGCAGTGACGAGCCACTCCAGGAGCGGCAGGAGTGACTGCACAGATAGTTGGCTAGTACACTTAAAAAAAAAGTTTATAAATTTACTTTCTAATAAATGATATTAAATCTAACATAATTCCTTAAGAACATTAGATCAGCTTAGTTACACTGTCTGATATCTATAAACTAAAAAAAGCACTCATTTAAATATTTTTGTTTTAAGTGTACTTCTAATTCCTGGTCCTGTCTCAGCCGTCTCAGCTGCACGTTGGCTGTTGGCTTAAACGTGATTATGCTTATGCCAATTATCCTTATTTTATTAATGCCCAGGCCGAGGCTGAAGCTTCTGCTCCTCCTGCTGCTGTTCCTCCTAGTTGGGAGCCTTTGTCTCTGGCCCTAAACAGCTTACGAAGCGGTATTTTTGCACCTTTTATGGCTTCCGCCATAATCGACAGAGCGACAAAGGCGACGGCTGTAGCAGCCTCAATTTATGCTCCGCATTTGTTTGTCTACACTTGAAGCCGTTTAAGGATAATACCTGGGTGAAACGAAGCCTGCGGACCTGCTGAGCTTTATGCCCATAATGCAATCGGGATTGTCTATTTTTGTAGCCCCTGTTATAAATCTGTTTGCTGCTGTTTTTTTTTTCGCTTTCTGTGTGTGTGTAAGTGTTGGCAATTTGAGGAGGAACGCTAATCTGCAGCTCGTGTTGCTGCTTATGTCAATCAGAGAAGCTCACAGGACCTAGTCTATATTTTTTCCTTTTTTTTTTCCTCATCCTCCCTATTTTCTTATTGCTTTTCTTTTCTTATTAAGACTTGAGCGGTCATTCTATTATTTTCCCTTTGTTTTCCACTCGCATTTGTTGAAAAGTGAGAAGTGCACTTTGCCCATTCCATTGTGTGGCCACATTGTGTCTTAATTACGTTCTTAACTGGACTTGAGTGGCGTGTCCTCTTAGCCGGACTAACAGCTTAACAATGCCTGCAACTGCCACTCAAGGAAAATACATTTCTAGCCCTATTCCCTTTGCTACTAACGGTCTAAATTGGATTATTCTATGGAGATTATTAGCTATAAAATGCCATTTCATGTTTAGGGTTTTACAAGGAGAGCTTTGGTTGGGAATTTTATCTATAATGAGAAAGAATAGCAATTTTGAACTCAACAATACTATTTTATATTATTAAAATCAATCTTCAAAATTCATATGAAACAGTAATTTTTATGGGATTTGGACTTTATTTTTGCATTAATAATGAAACAATATTTTCCTTTTTAAAAGTTTCTTTCAGGCCACATTTTTGGCCAACAAAATCGAATGTCGAAAGAATCAATATTATAAATTTCCTGTTTCTACGTAATAACTCTCAATGCTAAAATTAACACCACATAAAATTTTCCGGCCTTCCTCATCTGCTTCCACTTTTTCCATCTTCCGCACCGAAAGCGGAAGTAAAAGAGAGAGAGCTGGACAAAAATGGCGGAGGGGAGCAAAGTAAAAAAATTAAAAATAACAAAGTGTAAATCATACGCGTGGCGGGATTGCCTTGCGGTTGCCCTGCTGTTGAGTGGGTGGAAAATCAGAAGGGGAGGGCTATGGAAATTTCAGAAGGGGAAGCACAGGAAAACGCACTCAAGCACGCAGCACGGAGCGCAGGCCACATAACAGATGCTAATTAATGGCGGCTGTGGCAAAGGGAGCCGTTATAATGGAGCCTGCAGGAGGATGCAGGAACCCAGGAACTCTGAGTCTGAATCTGAAGCCAAGGACAAAGATGGGAAGTGTCTGTTGGGAATGTGCCGTTAATTGCCGGCAAATGCGTCGAATTGCGGTTCATTGGCTTGCACAACTCGGGGAGTCGAGTTGCTAATTTATCGATCAAAGCCTAAGGTTTCCCCCTTTACATTTTATTTTAACTTTTCCTAAGCTTGTATATTACAAGGACTATTTTTATAATGTAGCAAAGGACCTTCAATAAAATATGTCTAAAATATATTTTTCTTTAATAATAATCAATTTAAATAGCAAAATCAATTGACTTACCTTTAACCAATTGTCTGACAACTTAAGAGTCCTCACAGATTGGGCTAAAGCTGCTGGCACCTGGCACAATCCAGTGCCACTAGCATCCAACTCCTTGAGACTCCAGGAGGCGACAAACTCCTGCATAGCCACTCCCACTTCCGGATTGTAGGCAATGGAAAGGCTGACCAAATCCGGAATTCCCTGCAAAGCTCGTATTGCAGAGCCACTCAAGCGGTTGTGGGATAAGTCCAGATGTTGCAGATTCGGCAGAGCCAAAAAGGTTTCGTAGTCTATATCAGTGATGTTGTTGTGACTGAGTATTAATGTTTGTAGTTCCAACAAATTGTAGAATGATTCCCTTGAAATGTTTAGCAATTGATTGTAAGCCAAGTTGAGGTTCTTAAGTTCAGGCAATCGCTGGACAAAGAAGTTCGCAGAAATTTCGCTGAATTTGTTGCAGGAAAGATCGAGTGTTACGAACGGAAGTGATTTGTTGGTATCAGCTAAGCTCAGGGGTATAACCTCCAAAGAGTTGTTGCCCAAATCCAGTTGCCTCAGCTGATTGAAGTTATCCAAACTGAGACTTTCCAGTTGATTACTACTCAGATCCATACCAGTGATCACCTGAAAGTCACCCTTCCACTGACCACCACTGCTATTAAAGTTCCTCAAGTCGCGGTGGGTGAGATTAAGCTTGTTGGCTGGAGCATTCAGCTCCAACTCTCTTTTGTGACGTTTCTGTTGGTATCGTAATTCCCCTCGAAAGCTGGCCGGTTCGTTTTCGTCCCTCAGCATTCGATGAATGCTCGGGTAGCTGAGACCACCGCCATTCTGCAGGGATAACTGCTGCTCCTCCCGTTCGGCAGCCTGGCGAGATGAGGTGGGAATATCGACCAGATGGGCTGAAACCACCAGCCTTGTTAGCCATGTCCAGGCCAGGAGTAGGGCCAGGCCTAGATCACAGTGTCGGTTCACAATTTTCACCATTTTGCACGCGGACTTTTCAGGGCTTTTCCTCTTTTTTTTTTCTCTCGTTTAAAAGGGGAGTTGTACGTTTCTATATATATTTTTTTTTTCTTGGTGCTGGCTCTTTTATTTCACTTGGAATTTATGCTTGGTACGTGCGAACGTTTAACGTTCAATTTTGAATATGGCTGCTGGCTCATTCATTTCCTCGTTCATCCGTTCGGTCATCGGGTACTCCGGATTCTCCGGGGGGCGTCACGTGCGCGCCTTTTTGGCCAAACATGTGACAAGTGTCGGCGGCAGTCAGAGGCGGATGCTGCCCGTGGAGGGCAATGGCAATGGCTGCGTTTCCGGTCTGGCGGCCATTGCTCAAGCTGCGTGCTCAAATTCCATTGCACACACACACAGAGATGATGCTGAATTTTTAATTAAATCAACTTGATCATTCTATTCCGGGTCGTCGCCGTCGTTTGTTATTGTTTTCCCCCCTTTCTGCAATTGTTTTACAATTTTAATTGCGCTCCTTTGTGTTTTGCTCTATGTTTTGCTTTTTCTGTTATTTTTCTGATGCTAATTGCTGTTGAACAAAACGCAACTCAACTCGAGCAAATGTCAATTAAAAAGCGAGCATTCCTGCTACTCCTGATGGCCCTGTTTTTGGTCTTGTTGTCTTTTAGCCAACTGTTGTCACATTACAATGCCAAGTGCTCCCTCGGCGTTGTTGTCGTCGCGTGCTTAAAATCTGTAATAAAACGTGAAAAAATTGCTTGTAATTACGTTCTTGTTGGTTGTGCTTTTTTTTTTTTCTTGTTGTGTGTGAATGCAAAAAGGTGGCAAAAGGTAAAACTTGCTTTTAAATATCTTTCTCCCTGTTCTTTTTTTTTTTTTTCATCGCATTTTAATTTCTACTTTGGCTTTACGACTTCGCAGCGCTTTTGGCAGTTGCCTTTAGTGTTATTTTTATGTTGATTGCAGCTAATGAAATTATAATTTCAACACGCCACGGTTTTAAGGATACAAGGATACAATCCTGTCAGCCGTTTGCCACTAAGTCCCGGTAATAAACCCCAGTCAAAATGTGTTCGGCTGTGTGTGTGTGTGTGTGTGTATGTTTGCCATAAATCATTTAACTGGGTCATTTCATTTCCGGCGTAGACAAGCGACAGGAAGGCCACTGAGCAACCCAACTGTCAACTGACAACCCACAGCAGCTGGCCCCAAAACGACGCAAATTTGATTTACTCATTGCCGGCCTAATGACGCTCGAATGTATGCTATGCGTTTTGGCCTTTCTTGTCTACTTCTCTTCTACCCTCTCCCAAGTGAATTTCGGTTTGGTTTTCCTTCAATTTTTTTTTTTGTGGGCTTGGACAACCCAATCTTGGGAAATTAATTTGTCAATGTCTACTTAAAGTCGAGCTTGGCATTTTGATAACCCAATAGCCGAGGTATAATAACTTCTTTCGCAAGATTGCAGTTCATTGATGGATGGTTTCGATGTGCGATTGGAAAGTTTTTTAATGATTTTGTGATTGCATAATAATAGCTGATTAAAAAGCAAATAAGGTGGGTTATTTATATGAATTATATGATGTAGTGAAGATGTAGAAGACTTCCTTAAGGGAAAAATATTGACTATATTGGGCTATTATTTTCCTCTCAATAACTTTACGGAATTTAAAGCCTAACTAAACCAATCAACTTAAGAAAAATTTGCCAATATATAGGCATTATTTGTATATGGTTTCCTTGCCATTACACACAAAAATGTTGAGCCACACACACATATACACAAATACAAATAAATACAGCGGGGAAAAGGGGGGCTCTGGCTGGTTTACGTTAAATTTATTGACAAATATCATCAAGGAGCTGGCATTTCATTTCATCTGCTGCCGTTTGCTTACATAACAGTAAAATTTGGGCCAAACGTTTGGCGACATTCAGCCACCCACTCTGCCACCCCCTAATACGTAACACCCCCTGGACTTCCAGTTCAGACAGGCAGATGTACGCAAGTCAATTGACATGAAAGTCGATTTGAAAAACCAACAACAAATGGGGGAAATATCAACAGCAGCAGCAACAACAACGTGAGTTGTCTGTTTGCCAGGAGAAGATTGACGCATCCTCAGGGGTGAGGGGAAGAGGAGGCAGTGGTGTCCTTTATTTGGTGGGCGGGGGTTCCAAGGATGCCTGTCAGTTTATTTTATGCCAGCTTGAAAATAATTTGCAAATTGCTGTGCCATATTTTTTCTGCTCTCTTTGCCTGTATTTTATTATCAGACATTAGCGAGGGTTGTTTGTAAAATAAATATTGTTGTTGCCAGCAACTTTATTGCATATTTATATGACAATCTCTCGTCTCTCTCTCCTTTTGTTTCCTTTTTATGTTAGTGCATATTTTTGTTAGTTAATCAAATGCCCCTGCACAAAGCAAATAACTTGCAGTGCTGCAATGTTGGAGTGCATTATTCGAGGATGCAAATGCCAGGAGAGCACAAAGGAACGGAAAACTTTTGCACACAAAAAAGTAGTTCAGCATATAAACGACAAAGTAATCTAAACTCATGAAGCCGAAATATAAACACTCTTTCTGTTTATAAGTTCAGATTTCTGACTTTAATTTTCTTAACTTAAACTTAACTTCTTACTATTAGAAAAATATTGCTAGAAGTTGAATGAAGACCATTTCTTATACCATATTCATACCATATATCATATTCTTAACCAACTTAATACTCTTCCTAGTTTGTCATTGATAAATTTAGCAAGTGTATCAAAACCAAACCTTCTGGCTTACAATACCCTTTCTGCCAGGCTATAAAAAGCAAGCTGCTTAAATAAAATCCAAGGCGCACTCACTGCAAGAGCTGAAATTGGATTTCGCCAGCCCGGTTTTTTATTTTTCTCCCAGAGCAGAGTCCCAGCATACGTCTGTGATTTATTTTAAACGTATTTAGAGGCCCCGAACCCGAAACTGAATCCTCCGAACCCGACATGGCTTTATCAACGGGATGCAAATGCAGTTGACGGGGTACAAGGACATGGCCACATGGCTGTCCTTTCAATCCTGCACCATTGCATTTCATTGAGTGCTTCAGTCGTTGGTCGTAGTTCCTTTTTTTTTTTTTTATTTCCCTTGCTTTTTGCTTCACTGGTGCGCTCAATGGTGCAACAAAACTCACACAAAATAGTGTATCTCCCATGCAACGTCGCGGCTGGTTGCATTTTTCCAGACACGCTGGCGTATACGTAATGCGCTGCATTTTGCTTCACTATCGCGTTGCTGTACTTTATTTGTATGGAAATGTTACTGCTGGTGGGTCGAGCGGTGTCTTTTGTAGTTGGGAAATCTCCTTTTGCCCAGCACGAACGGCATGTTTATTGTTTAAGTGCGCTTCCTGTGCTTCTTTCAATGCATTTTGCCCTCTATTTCAACTCTCGTCCTATCCCTTTGCGCCCTTTTGTTTGCTATAGTTTTAATAAACTTCCGCTTTACCCTTGGCTTCATGGAGTTCGCCTTGTGTGAGCGACATGCTTTCGATGCTGGTGCGGTACTGCACTGAGAAAAATGTGTTATAAGTTGTTAAATTGTAAAAGAAGAGCTGTTAGTCGAAATAAAGTTAAACATTTCGAATATTCATTTGATTTTTCGAGAACAATTTGTTGTTATTTGCAGTCTTAAGAGTTTTTTGAAGTGTTTGTTCCTGGAATTTCTGCGAGTCAGCTATTCTGCACAAAAAAAAAACCCTGCAACCCAGCATCTGTGTCAATGTCAGGCACGTGCGGGCACGTGGATATGCATGTGGGACTTAAACAGCTTTTAGGTCTGGCATCTTTAAGCAAAATGTCCAACACTTGGCGAACAATTTGCCAAGACACTTGGTCGATTTTCAGCCATCGATTTGCTTTTATTTGCTGCGCATAAAACTTTTCAAATTAAAGTTTATTTCTGGCTTTCGACTGTCAGGCTGGAACGAGCTGGCAATTTGGCAGCAGCATCAGTTCGACGGCCTCGTCGACTCACTGAAATATTGGCAGACAGCTGTGGGTGTAAAGGAAAAACCGTATCGATAACGATAAAGTGAACAAACTGTTGAGGATTTGTAGGCCCACTTGGAGGTGTTTAGAATTGCCTACAAAATTGCTTTCTTTTCATGTTTCGCAGAGAAAGTTTAAGAGTGTTGATGGGCATTGATTGAAACGGAACAAGAAAATCTGTTTCAAGATTAAAGAAGGCAGGCTAGATTTCGATTTTGGTTAAAGTTTCTTTTAAACTTTTTTAAATTTTTTCCCAAGGCCAAAGAATTGCCTTCTGAGAATCGCAAGGATATTAATATGCATGGCCCTCATAATAAACAAGTTTCTTCGTTTTCTTCTGAATATATATGAGAGGCCTTACAATATCAACGAGATTTGTCATTCCCATCAGCGGGAGATTTCTGGGTAGCACATGTCATTGACTTCCATTCGTTCGTTTTGCCGCCATGTTGTGCTCCTTATTAATGCCCTGCGGTAAAAAGGGACCGCCCAAGCCTGTGAAAAGTGCCGGGGAAAGCCTTACGAAAAGCCCCACCCAAGCAACCAAAAACACATAAGTAAAATCTGTAATAAACTTGTTGTTGTCCGACTTGTGAGTGTCTGTGTGTGTGTGTGTGTGTGAGCGGCTTTTATTGTTTTATTTGTGTGCGTCTTTCCGGGCAAGTTTTTATTTTTGTTTGCCATTTTATTTATTCTTTTTTTTTTGTAGTTTTTCCTTCTGCTTTTATTTGTTAAATTGTGTTGTGAAAAATCGCTGAAGGCTCAGGGCCGCCACAACAGAGCCGGGCCTCTTGTGTATGTTTATTTGGTCGCTTTTTGTTCCGTTTTATTCTATTTTTATATATATATTATTTGGGGTTTTCCGAGGGGTTTTTCGGGTGTTCTTGGGGTGTTTGTATGCTTGACTTCGTCTTGGGCTTTGCTTTGGTAGCCCAATTTCGGTTTTGCTCCCAGCAGCTTATCTTCCCTGGGACCTTGAATGCGGCAAAAGAATAATTTTGATAGAAAAAAGAAAGAAAGACTCGCTGGTGGGGGTACCCTCATTTTTATTATCTTACTCATATTTTTAACCCCTTAGTTTGATTGTGGCAAAGCTTTTTACCAAATTGAAAAACTTTTTCAATAACTGTGCATAATTTGCTGAGCCTCAGACTCCTCGGGACTCCCTTTCCACCATTGTACGATTACTTAAAGTATTACCAACCGTTGAAGCTCTTGAGCTAAAATATATTACTCGTGGTTAATATAGTAATATGGAATGCCCTCTTAGTTGTATGAAAACCAATTCCACTTTGGGTCAACAGCCCTAGCAAATTGTGTGGCTGACAGACAGGACACAGAGGGACACTGAAGTGGGCCTGATACGGAGCCACAGGCACTCATATTTCCTTGTCCGGCACATAAAGTGACACAATGATTTTCTAATAATTTGCCAAATTGCCTTTGGTTGACCATTAAATCTGAGATACGTGTCTGTGTGATAGCCAGATTATGTTCACACACATAGATATACTCGACTATACACACACACACAAAAACATACTCGTATACGCCCCCGAAATGTCTGAGCAGCCATCTAGACGAAATTCTTCTGGCCAGGACATAACTCGAGACTTTTGCCAGCATATCCTTCGCCTCGAGTGTGGTGTCATCGAGTTTCTTTCGCCTCCTTGGCATTTCTTGGCCCTTAAAGCCAGA